ATCAGTGCCATCCGTGCAGCACCTGCTCCATCTCATCGAGCTGCAGTTGGCGTTATTGCGAAGCCTACTCAAAGTGCAACCCTTGCGAGCTACCTTGATGCGAAGCTAGCCACTGAAGCAACTAGAAGCCAAGACAGAACCATGGTGTAGGCGCATCCGTGGGCCAGCAGCACTGCGCCTGCCAACCGCGGCAGCCTCAAGCTGCAACTTCATGCAAGGTTCTGGGCAGAGCCACGCAGGTGAGGTCCAGGGCTCCATGCTGAACTCAAGTCAAGGCAAATCGACGCATCCCATAGTCTTGCGAGCTGAAGCAACTGCTGCCATCCCCAGCAGCCAAGTTGCAACTTCCTACAGTCAAAGTTCTGGGCAAAGCCAAGTAGCTGGGTCCAATGGCTCCATGCGTTGCTAAAGCGAAGGCAACATCATGTTCCTGTTGATGCCATTTAACACAACTCGTGTTGAGAAGGGCCGAGAGCAAGCAAGCCGAAATTCCTGAAGGTGGAGTAACCAACACCGTCCCCTGCCATGGCTGCCAAATGTGCCAAATGTGTGCATAAGGCCATGAAGGCACTATCCCCCAGAATCAGAAGCAGCAGCCTTGCAAATACAAACGGAGGCAGACGAGCTGAATCAAGAGCAAGACAGCACCCTGGAATCAATTCCCAACGCGCGCCAGCCTGGAAAGTTTTAGGGCTGGGAGGTTGATGGGTTGAAGGCCCTGCAGTGCGAATGCGCAGGCCAGCAGCACTGCGCGTACCAGTCGCAAAATTCCAGAGCGGAAACTTGCTGCGAGGTTCTGGGCAAAGCCAAACCGGTTGAGTCCAACGGCTCTGTGCTTTGCTCACGTCAGAGCAACATAGAGGGGATCCAAACGATATCAAACACAGGATGTACCTGAGGCGGTTTTCCAAGCAAAGTTGGCAAGACGCGGCAGGGTGATACACCGCTCTTTCTCGTGCAGTCATGGTTGGATACGGCGCGGCAAGATGCAGCAGGCCAGCAGCACTGCGCCTGCCAACCGCGGCAGCCTCAAGCTGCATCTTCCTGCAAGGTTCCGTGCAGAGCCAAGCTGGTGGGGTCAAACAGCCCTGCGCTGCACTCAAGACAAATCGACGCATCCCATCGTCCAGCGAGCTACCTGAATGTGAAGCTAGCCACTCAAGCAAAGTCCTAAGACTAAGACTGCAGCCTTGAATCTAGCCTGTCCGAACTCCCGGGCGCCTATCCATGGTCCACAATCCGCTTAGTCATTGCCCTGGTCGAGAACCCTCTTCATCCGTAATCCGAGATACACTTTGGGGCTCAAAACCACGTGTTGGATGGCAAATCCATGCAACCCATACTCCGTAACCCGCAAACCGCATAATCTACGTACTCCGTACACCGCATGATCCGCAATTCGCTAATCATCGGGGATTAGGGCTTTTGGTGCCAGTTGGTGAATCAACCCCAACGCGCGCCAGCCCGGAAAGCGCCAGGGCTGGGAAGGTGAGGAGTTACCCGGTGCTGCAGGACAATGTGTCGAACTCAATAGCTGTAAGCGCATGCGCGTGCCAGCCGCCTCGCGCCTGTCAGCCTCAGCAGCCTGCTGCAACTACTTCCCACCAAGCTCTCGGCAGCGTCAAACTGCTGGGGTCCAACGGCTGCGTGCGTTGCTCGAGTCGAGGCAATGTGATGCCCCCGTTGATGCCATCTTTTCAAGCAACCTGCGCGAGCTACCTGAATGTGAAGCTCGGCAACGGCTGCACATTGGTTGTCTGATTTCTTCGTGAAGTTAGGCTTGGGACCGTGTGGCCTCCCTCCGCCCCGGCACAGCCCTTGGGGCAAACTGTGCCAAGCTCTTCGCTATCCACAGCGCCGCAGCGGCGGAGAAATGCTGGGAGCCTCAGGAGCGGGCTCGCTTGGGCACCTGCTATCCTGTGATAGGAATCTCTTCGGGCAAGCTGGCGGGGAAATCTGCCCGAGGGTGACTGAGCGCTAACAGATTGACTCCTGACTCAGGTTCTGCTATTCTTACAGCCAAGGCGCCGGGCAAGCGTGTCCTGAACTAATTGGCACGTTCCTAAGCGGAGAACATCTCGCTTGGTTTCACTTCACTTGGCATGGAGCCCACTTCTCCAAGTCTCCAAAGTGCGGCATGCCCGAATGGCACATCGGCTTGAGCCATGCTGAAAGGGTGGTTGGAAGCAAAAGCTCTGGATCGGCATCTACTGTGTGCGGACACCCACCGGTCAAAAAATGCGGTGTTGCCGCAAAAGCACGCGTCCATTTGATGTCGGGGAACAAAATAAATCCGGAACTTTTGAAAATGGGTAAAACAAGGGCGGGCGCACCCGGATTGGAGGGTACCCCTTTTGGGCTTGTTTGCAAAGGAAACCAAAGGAACGCAAACAACTTCAGGGTCCTGACTTTGAAACAAGCCTGGGTGGACCACCAGTTGCTGAACCTTCGCCGGCTACCACTTTCTGGCGTCAAAGTTTAACGAAAACCAATTCTCCATTGGTCCCCTGACGCTGGGGGTTAAGTATGGTCAAACAACGAAAGTCGCAAATATGTCAAATCTTGGCCGGACCTGAACCCCCACACCGCCTACAAAAAGACATTGTTTTTTTGCCGGGCAATGGTGTGGTGGTTTAATTTTGATCCATACCCAAGTGAGGTTAACTCATACGAAGGGAACGAAAGTGGCACCAAAGGGAACCCCCCAAAGGCAACAAATGTTGACCACACCAAGTCTAAGTGGGGTTTACCCGCCCGGTGGTTTTTCTTTTGGTTTCCCTCCAAAACCACCCAAAAATGGGGTACCAACTCAAACAAGACAAACCCCACGGAGGTTAACGGTACCAAATCCATACCAAGGGAACACAAGTGCCCAAAGGGGGGTGCTCTCAAAAACGGACACACCCAAGTGGGGCGCAATCAAAATCCGGGCAGATAAGGGATAGTAAGCGATAATCCCAACCATAGCTGGGTGCCCCTTGTTGATACCTTCTTATATTATTTTATTCTTTACATGGTTCTGGGCCCGGACCATTTTAGCACCGATCGGATTTGAGTATGACTCAAATGCCGGTTGCCACTCGACCATTTTGGTGGCAGACAAAGCTTCGTGACAAATTGTCGGGCCAATCCATTCGACCCAAAGTGAGCTTGACTGTGGCCAACGGGAAACAATGGGCGCCCTTTTGCTGTTTAAAGGGGAACTCTTACCCAAGAAAAGGAAAGAAGGGCACCACTGGGCAACAGAGTTTTGGAACCAAAGCTCAACCTGACCAGGCACGGTCAATTTGCAACGGTCAACTTACCAGCCACGGGTTTCTGTAGGTGCAGGATTGCGTCCATCCACAGTACCAATGAAAACCCAAAACGCCACCTAAACTCTCGCAGCGCCTCCAGGCGCTGCCACTCCTCCCCGAAGTCCCAGCGCAGCACGCCGGGCCCCAAGCGGCCCTCGGGGACCACCGGTGCGCCCGTTGCTTGTCCGTCGGTCCCCGAACCGGAGGAGCCGTTTTGAGCCCCCAAAACGGGGAAGACGGCGGAAAAGTAACACCCGATCACGCCAAAAACTAATTCTGGGAGCAACCTACATTGGGAACTGTGAGGGACTGAATCACACTCCTTCTTCTGTGAAAACAGGGTTGAGATGGTTTTAAAGCTCTTCACAACCCGATTCTACTATGTGGGCCCTGATTGAAGAAGGGGAGCCAACCGGAAACTTTGCCCAAGCAGAATGCCAAAGGCGGCATTTCGCAGCAACCACTCCAATGTCAGCTTTACCTGGCGCTTCACCATAGCTTCCAGCACAGTGCTGGCAGAAATAAAACTTTATCAAATGGCTGCTTATTCTGTGGGAAGAATCCCTAGACGGTCGGGGCGCATCGTGCACCTCTTCCACGTCTTGCCATGGCTGACGCTCAGGGGCCCTCTGCGGACGCAACTCAGGGGTTGCCCTCTTAAAAGACGCATGGGGCGTGCATCAAGGATGACCTTGAAAACAACCCACTAAAAACATGATATGTCCCATTAAATGAGAAAAGATACCCTTGGTCATAGTGGGGCCAGGAATATTGATCAACCCCCACATGCCTAACCCTCGGGCATGTCTCAAAGAGCGGACTGCTAAACATACTTGACTTCCTTGTGCATTCCCAAATTAGGCAACAGCAAACGTATCAAAACATCAGAACCCCCGATTCTGCATCCCTGGACTCCATCAATCACCCCAACGAGAAGTCAAGTCCCTTTTGGCCAACAAGAACAATGGGTGAGTTCTTGTCGAAACGACCAGTTGATCATGATCATGTCAACCCAATGGCTTATTGTTGGGCCCTTCTAGCGGTGATGTTTCGACTAACAACCCGCGAAGAACCGACCACACCAAAAGGTCAGGAAAAGGTCGCCCGCTTGAGCAGCATGCTAGGGCCTAAACAATTTTACAACTTGAAATTGAGTCACGATCCCAAGTGAAAAACTTCCATTTGCTTTTGCTTAAGCCCCCTGCAATACAAACATTTGTCCAGTTGTGATAGATTCCCTTTAAAACCAACAGGGGTCATGAAGCATATTCTTCAGCAAATGGATGGAGACTGAAAGGAGAACCGAGCCGCGCCGTTTGGGGGGGCCGTGCCTGCTCTCCTGAGAGCAAGCAATCCCCACAGATGGGTACCCCGCTTTCAAGGATAAATTTTCGGGCACGTCCCCAGCAGAATGAATAATTACTGTTGGCAAGCGAGCGCCTTTTCTCCGCCCAGCAAACTGGGCAACCCCAAGCAAGCACCATTCAGCCGCAGTTGCCCAATGGGGCTTCGGATAGAAAGAAAACCCTCTTTGGTAAAATCAGGCAAAACGTCGTGCCTCAAACTTAGGGAACCTCATCCACGTGGTTGATTTTCTGTTGGTTTTCCACCCTTCACAGAACGGCAGAACACAACATCAGCAAGTTTCCAGGCAGCTTCAAGCGACCGCGGCTGAATGCATAGAACTGTTTCCCTCACAAGTTGCTAGAACGCCCACCTTTGCAGCCGCTTGCGGCATCTCCGACAGCGCCGAGCAGTCGATTCACTCATGGAAAAGCCCCAGGCTGCTTTGCGGAACAAGAGCAGAAAGGCTGCCGCGGGTGAACGTTTTGCAAAAAAACTGGTGAACAGCCTGCAAGCTATGGGGACAGGGTCCATGCAGAGTGTCGCTGTGCGACACCCCAGGCTAGCAGACCAGCGCTGCGCCTTGGCAGCCAGCTGCAAGTTGCCCCGGGCTTTGTGCTCCGAGCACTCTGCGCTTAAGGACACGTGACGCCCCCCTGCGATGTCATGAAACACCCCCCCACACGCCTCAACAAAGCGCATTCCCGGCAACCTGCCAGCTACCATGTGAAGCTAGGACTAGCACTATTGAGGTGAATTTCAAGGTGCACCAGCCCTGCAAGCACAAGGACTGCGGAAAGCAGGACAAGGCGTCCTGCCAATGCAGGACAAGGCGTCCAACTCGGAAGGTGAGAGTGCATGTGTAGGCCAGCAGCAGTGCGCCTGCCAGCCGCACCAACCTCAAGCTGCAACTTCCCACCAAGTTCTGGACAGAACCAAGCTGGTGGGGTCCAACGGCTCCGTGCCGCACTCAAGTCACGGCAAAACAGGATCCCCGCAATGCCCTGTAACGCTCCTTCTCATAGCCTGAACATAGCTCATTCCAAGCAACCTCTTGCGAGGTACCTTCATGCGAAGCTAGCCACTGCAGCCAACGCTCGACCAAGACAGCACCCTGAAATCAAATCCCAGCGCGCCAGCCGTAAAAGCGTTGGGGCTGGGAAGGGGCAGGGTTGCTGGCATTGCCGAAGGCGTCACAGTCAAAAGGTGTCAGCGCATCAGCAGGCCAGCAGCACTGCGCCTGCCAACCGCAGCAGCTTCAAGTTGCAACTTCCTGCAAGGTTCTGGGCAGAGCCAAGCTGGTGGGGCCCAGCGGCTTTGCGCGTTGCTCAAGCCAAGGCGACATGATGCTCTTGTTGATGCTATTTAATGCTGCTCGTGGCGGGCAACACAAGCAGTGCAAGATAGCACCCTTGAATCAAATCCCATCGTGCGCCAGCCTGGAAAGCATTAGGACTGGGAAGCCACGGGGTTGCTGGCGCTGCAGGACAGGACGTCAAACTCAAAACCTGTAAGCGCATGTGCAGGCCATCAGCACTATGCCTGCCAACTGCAGCAGCCTCAAGTTGCAACTTCCCACCAAGTTCTCGGCAGAGACAAGCTGGTGTGGTGCAACGGCTCCGTGCCGCACTCAAGTCACGGCAACACAGGATTCCCGTAGTGCCTTGCAACACTCTTTCTTATAGCCGAAACATACTTCATTGTCGAAGCTAGCCACTGCAAATGCTCGACCAAGCCAGAACACTGAAATCAACTGGCAACACGTGCCAGCCTGAAAAGCATTAGGGCTGGGAAGGTGCGGGGTTGCCGGCGCCGCAGGACAAGGCGTCGAACTGCAGAGGCAAGCAGCACTGTGCTTGCCAACCGAAGCAGCCTCAAGTTGCAACTTCCAACAAAGCTCTGGGCAGAGCCAAGCTGGTGGGGTCCAATGGCTCTGTGCTGCGTTCAAGCTAAGGCAAAACGACGCTCTCCAAAATGCCATCTAACACTCCAACACCCCCTGCAAGCCTGACAGCCCATTCCAAGCAATCTCTCGTGAGCTACCTGAATCTGAGGTAAGCCACTGCAGCCAACTCTAGACCAAAGCTGCATCCTTGGATCAAATCCCAACGCACGCCAGCCTGGAAAGTGTTAGGGCTGGGACAGTGCAGAGTTGCTGGCTCTGCAGGACAAGGCATCAAACTTGAAAGGTGTCAGCGCATGTGCAGGTCAGTAGTACTGTGTCTGCCAGCCGCAGCAGCCTCGAGTTCTGACTGGTGGGGTCCAACGGCTCCCTGCTTTTTCGCTCAAGTGAAGGCAAAGCGAAGCTTCCCTTGATGCCATCATTTCAAGCAACATCATGCGAGCTACCTGAATATGAAGCTAGGCACGGAAGCAAACGCTGACCTCCGCAGCAGACTCAAGCTGCAACTTCCTGCAAGCTTCTGGGCAGAGCCAAGCCTGCGGCTCTGTGCACTCAAGTCAAGGCAAATCAACGCATCCCGTCGTGCGAGCTACCTGCATAAAGCTGGCCACCCAAGCAATCTCCAACCGAGACTGCATCGGATCAAATCCCAACGCGCGCCAGCCTGGAAAGCGATGGGCTGGGGAGTTGCGGCAACCTCTGCAGCCTCAGGCTGCGACTTCCTGCAAGCTTCTGGGCAGAGCCAAGCCTGCGGCTCTGTGCACTCAAGTCAAGGCAAATCAACGCATCCCGTCGTGCGAGCTACCTGCATAAAGCTGGCCACCCAAGCAATCTCCAACCGAGACTGCATCGGATCAAATCCCAACGCGCGCCAGCCTGGAAAGCGTTGGGCTGGGGAGTTGCGGCAACCTCTGCAGCCTCAAGCTGCAACTTCCTGCAAGGTTCTGGACAAAGCCCAACTGGCCGGGTTCAACGGCTCCCTGCCGCACTCGAGTCAAGGCATAACAACGCCACCATCCTCCTGCCAGCTACCTAAATGTGAAGCTATCCACTCGAGCAAACTCCTACGGCTATGACTGTGTTCGAAATCCCGGGCGCCTATTCATAGTCCGTAATCCGCTTAGTCATTGCTCTGGTCGAGAACTCTCTTAATCCCGAATCCGGCAAACAATTTGTGGCTCAAGACCACATGTCGGAGCATGGCAAATCCATTCAAGCCATAATGCGTATTCCGCAAACCACGCACTCGACTCCGTAAACCGCATAATCCGTGATTCGCTAATCATCGGGAATTAGGTTTTGACCAAGCGGGCGAACCAAACCCGAACGCGTGCCGGCCTGGATAGCGCTAGGGCTGGGAAGGTGAGGAGTTGCCGGTGCTGCAGGACAATGCGTTGAACTCAAAAGATGTGAGCGCATGAGCAGGCCAGCAGCACTGCACCTTCCAATCGCAGCCTCAAGCTGCAACTTCCCACCAAGCCAAGCTGGCGCGGTCGATTCACCGTGCGTTTCTCAAGCCAAGGCAGTGTGATGATGCCATTCAATGCTGCTCCTGGCGAGCCTTACAAACGGGGTGAAACACGAATGTATTCTGAGGTGCGCGAGTCTTGAGGTGAGTCGGCAGGCTTCCAAAGTGCTAGCAAACCCGCGCAGCCGGAGCTTCACGAAGAACCAGGCACAACTTGGTCGGCTGGCTTCAACACACCTTGTTGATAGCAAGGTCATTGAAAATCAGTGCCATCCGTGCAGCACCTGCTCCATCTCATCGAGCTGCAGTTGGCGTTATTGCGAAGCCTACTCAAAGTGCAACCCTTGCGAGCTACCTTGATGCGAAGCTAGCCACTGAAGCAACTAGAAGCCAAGACAGAACCATGGTGTAGGCGCATCCGTGGGCCAGCAGCACTGCGCCTGCCAACCGCGGCAGCCTCAAGCTGCAACTTCATGCAAGGTTCTGGGCAGAGCCACGCAGGTGAGGTCCAGGGCTCCATGCTGAACTCAAGTCAAGGCAAATCGACGCATCCCATAGTCTTGCGAGCTGAAGCAACTGCTGCCATCCCCAGCAGCCAAGTTGCAACTTCCTACAGTTAAAGTTCTGGGCAAAGCCAAGTAGCTGGGTCCAATGGCTCCATGCGTTGCTAAAGCGAAGGCAACATCATGTTCCTGTTGATGCCATTTAACACAACTCGTGTTGAGAAGGGCCGAGAGCAAGCAAGCCGAAATTCCTGAAGGTGGAGTAACCAACACCGTCCCCTGCCATGGCTGCCAAATGTGCCAAATGTGTGCATAAGGCCATGAAGGCACTATCCCCCAGAATCAGAAGCAGCAGCATTGCAAATACAAACGGAGGCAGACGAGCTGAATCAAGAGCAAGACAGCACCCTGGAATCAATTCCCAACGCGCGTCAGCCTGGAAAGTTTTAGGGCTGGGAGGTTGCGGGGTTGAAGGCCCTGCAGTGCGAATGCGCAGGCCAGCAGCACTGCGCGTACCAGTCGCAAAATTCCAGAGCGGAAACTTGCTGCGAGGTTCTGGGCAAAGCCAAACCGGTTGAGTCCAACGGCTCTGTGCTTTGCTCACGTCAGAGCAACATAGTTTGCTTTTGCTTAAGCCCCCTGCAATACAAACATTTGTCCAGTTGTGATAGATTCCCTTTAAAACCAACAGGGGACATGAAGCATATTCTTCAGCAAATGGATGGAGACTGAAAGGAGAACCGAGCCGCGCCGTTTGGGGGGGCCGTGCCTGCTCTCCTGAGAGCAAGCAATCCCCACAGATGGGTACCCCTCTTTCAAGGATAAATTTTCGGGCACGTCCCCAGCAGAATGAATAATTACTGTTGGCAAGCGAGCGCCTTTTCTCCGCCCAGCAAACTGGGCAACCCCAAGCAAGCACCATTCAGCCGCAGTTGCCCAATGGGGCTTCGGATAGAAAGAAAACCCTCTTTGGTAAAATCAGGCAAAACGTCGTGCCTCAAACTTAGGGAACCTCATCCACGTGGTTGATTTTCTGTTGGTTTTCCACCCTTCACAGAACGGCAGAACACAACATCAGCAAGTTTCCAGGCAGCTTCAAGCGACCGCGGCTGAATGCATAGAACTGTTTCCCTCACAAGTTGCTAGAACGCCCACCTTTGCAGCCGCTTGCGGCATCTCCGACAGCGCCGAGCAGTCGATTCACTCATGGAAAAGCCCCAGGCTGCTTTGCGGAACAAGAGCAGAAAGGCTGCCGCGGGTGAACGTTTTGCAAAAAAACTGGTGAACAGCCTGCAAGCTATGGGGACAGGGTCCATGCAGAGTGTCGCTGTGCGACACCCCAGGCTAGCAGACCAGCGCTGCGCCTTGGCAGCCAGCTGCAAGTTGCCCCGGGCTTTGTGCTCCGAGCACTCTGCGCTTAAGGACACGTGACGCCCCCCTGCGATGTCATGAAACACCCCCCCACACGCCTCAACAAAGCGCATTCCCGGCAACCTGCCAGCTACCATGTGAAGCTAGGACTAGCACTATTGAGGTGAATTTCAAGGTGCACCAGCCCTGCAAGCACAAGGACTGCGGAAAGCAGGACAAGGCGTCCTGCCAATGCAGGACAAGGCGTCCAACTCGGAAGGTGAGAGTGCATGTGTAGGCCAGCAGCAGTGCGCCTGCCAGCCGCACCAACCTCAAGCTGCAACTTCCCACCAAGTTCTGGACAGAACCAAGCTGGTGGGGTCCAACGGCTCCGTGCCGCACTCAAGTCACGGCAAAACAGGATCCCCGCAATGCCCTGTAACGCTCCTTCTCATAGCCTGAACATAGCTCATTCCAAGCAACCTCTTGCGAGGTACCTTCATGCGAAGCTAGCCACTGCAGCCAACGCTCGACCAAGACAGCACCCTGAAATCAAATCCCAGCGCGCCAGCCGTAAAAGCGTTGGGGCTGGGAAGGGGCAGGGTTGCTGGCATTGCCGAAGGCGTCACAGTCAAAAGGTGTCAGCGCATCAGCAGGCCAGCAGCACTGCGCCTGCCAACCGCAGCAGCTTCAAGTTGCAACTTCCTGCAAGGTTCTGGGCAGAGCCAAGCTGGTGGGGCCCAGCGGCTTTGCGCGTTGCTCAAGCCAAGGCGACATGATGCTCTTGTTGATGCTATTTAATGCTGCTCGTGGCGGGCAACACAAGCAGTGCAAGATAGCACCCTTGAATCAAATCCCATCGTGCGCCAGCCTGGAAAGCATTAGGACTGGGAAGCCACGGGGTTGCTGGCGCTGCAGGACAGGACGTCAAACTCAAAACCTGTAAGCGCATGTGCAGGCCATCAGCACTATGCCTGCCAACTGCAGCAGCCTCAAGTTGCAACTTCCCACCAAGTTCTCGGCAGAGACAAGCTGGTGTGGTGCAACGGCTCCGTGCCGCACTCAAGTCACGGCAACACAGGATTCCCGTAGTGCCTTGCAACACTCTTTCTTATAGCCGAAACATACTTCATTGTCGAAGCTAGCCACTGCAAATGCTCGACCAAGCCAGAACACTGAAATCAACTGGCAACACGTGCCAGCCTGAAAAGCATTAGGGCTGGGAAGGTGCGGGGTTGCCGGCGCCGCAGGACAAGGCGTCGAACTGCAGAGGCAAGCAGCACTGTGCTTGCCAACCGAAGCAGCCTCAAGTTGCAACTTCCAACAAAGCTCTGGGCAGAGCCAAGCTGGTGGGGTCCAATGGCTCTGTGCTGCGTTCAAGCTAAGGCAAAACGACGCTCTCCAAAATGCCATCTAACACTCCAACACCCCCTGCAAGCCTGACAGCCCATTCCAAGCAATCTCTCGTGAGCTACCTGAATCTGAGGTAAGCCACTGCAGCCAAGTCTAGACCAAAGCTGCATCCTTGGATCAAATCCCAACGCACGCCAGCCTGGAAAGTGTTAGGGCTGGGACAGTGCAGAGTTGCTGGCTCTGCAGGACAAGGCATCAAACTTGAAAGGTGTCAGCGCATGTGCAGGTCAGTAGTACTGTGTCTGCCAGCCGCAGCAGCCTCGAGTTCTGACTGGTGGGGTCCAACGGCTCCCTGCTTTTTCGCTCAAGTGAAGGCAAAGCGAAGCTTCCCTTGATGCCATCATTTCAAGCAACATCATGCGAGCTACCTGAATATGAAGCTAGGCACGGAAGCAAACGCTGACCTCCGCAGCAGACTCAAGCTGCAACTTCCTGCAAGCTTCTGGGCAGAGCCAAGCCTGCGGCTCTGTGCACTCAAGTCAAGGCAAATCAACGCATCCCGTCGTGCGAGCTACCTGCATAAAGCTGGCCACCCAAGCAATCTCCAACCGAGACTGCATCGGATCAAATCCCAACGCGCGCCAGCCTGGAAAGCGTTGGGCTGGGGAGTTGCGGCAACCTCTGCAGCCTCAGGCTGCGACTTCCTGCAAGCTTCTGGGCAGAGCCAAGCCTGCGGCTCTGTGCACTCAAGTCAAGGCAAATCAACGCATCCCGTCGTGCGAGCTACCTGCATAAAGCTGGCCACCCAAGCAATCTCCAACCGAGACTGCATCGGATCAAATCCCAACGCGCGCCAGCCTGGAAAGCGTTGGGCTGGGGAGTTGCGGCAACCTCTGCAGCCTCAAGCTGCAACTTCCTGCAAGGTTCTGGACAAAGCCCAACTGGCCGGGTTCAACGGCTCCCTGCCGCACTCGAGTCAAGGCAAAACAACGCCACCATCCTCCTGCCAGCTACCTAAATGTGAAGCTATCCACTCGAGCAAACTCCTACGGCTATGACTGTGTTCGAAATCCCGGGCGCCTATTCATAGTCCGTAATCCGCTTAGTCATTGCTCTGGTCGAGAACTCTCTTAATCCCGAATCCGGCAAACAATTTGTGGCTCAAGACCACATGTCGGAGCATGGCAAATCCATTCAAGCCATAATGCGTATTCCGCAAACCACGCACTCGACTCCGTAAACCGCATAATCCGTGATTCGCTAATCATCGGGAATTAGGTTTTGACCAAGCGGGCGAACCAAACCCGAACGCGTGCCGGCCTGGATAGCGCTAGGGCTGGGAAGGTGAGGAGTTGCCGGTGCTGCAGGACAATGCGTTGAACTCAAAAGATGTGAGCGCATGAGCAGGCCAGCAGCACTGCACCTTCCAATCGCAGCCTCAAGCTGCAACTTCCCACCAAGCCAAGCTGGCGCGGTCGATTCACCGTGCGTTTCTCAACTCAAGACAGTGTGATGATGCCATTCAATGCTGCTCCTGGCGAGCCTTACAAACGGGGTGAAACGCGACTGTATTCTGAGGCGCGCGAGTCTTGAGGTGCGTCGGCAGGCTTCCAAAGTGTTAGCAAACCCGCGCAGCCGGAGCTTCACGAAGAACCAGGCACAACTTGGTCGGCTGGCTTCAACGCACCTTGTTGATAGCAAGGTCATTGAAAATCAGTGCCATCCGTGCAGCACCTGCTCCATCTCATCGAGCTGCAGTTGGCGTTATTGCGAAGCCTACTCAAAGTGCAACCCTTGCGAGCTACCTTGATGCGAAGCTAGCCACTGAAGCAACTAGAAGCCAAGACAGAACCATGGTGTAGGCGCATCCGTGGGCCAGCAGCACTGCGCCTGCCAACCGCGGCAGCCTCAAGCTGCAACTTCATGCAAGGTTCTGGGCAGAGCCACGCTGGTGAGGTCCAGGGCTCCTTGCTGAACTCAAGTCAAGGCAAATCGACGCATCCCATAGTCTTGTTAGCTCAAGCAACTGCTGCCATCCCCAGCTGAGGCAGACGAGCTGAATCAAGAGCAAGACAGCACCCTGGAATCAATTCCCAACGCGCGCCAGCCTTGAAAGCGTTAGGGCTGGGAGGTTGCGGCGTCAAACTCAAAAGGTCTAAGCGAATGCGCAGGCCAGCAGCACTGCGCGTACCAGCCGCAAAACTCCAGAGCTGAAACTTGCTGCGAGGTTCTCAAAGCCAAACCGGTTGAGTCCAACGGCTCTGTGCTTTGCTCACGTCAGGGCAACATAGGGGGGTTCCAAACGATATCAAACACAGGATGCACCTGAGGCGGCTTTCCAAGCCAAGTTGGCAAGAAGCGGCAGGGTGATACAGCTGATACACCGCTCTTTCTCGTGCAGTCATGGTTGGATGCGGCGCGGCAAGATACAGCAGGCCAGCAGCACTGCGCCTGCCAACCATAGCAGCCGCAAGCTGCATCTTCCTGCAAGGTTCCGTCAAACAGCCCTGCGCTGCACTCAAGTCAAGACAAATCGACGCATCCCATCGTCCAGGGAGCTACCTGAATGTGAAGCTAGCGGCAAGCTGGAGGGGAAATCTGCCCTGAGAGGGTGACTGAGCGCTAACAGATTGACTCCTGATTCAGATTCTGCCATGTTTACAGCCAAGGCGCCGGGCAAGCGTGTCCTGAACAAATTGGTACGTGCCTAAGCGAAGAACATCTCGCTTGGTTTCACTTCACTTGGCATGGAGCCCACTTCTCCAAGTCTCCAAAGTGCGGCATGCCCGAATGGCACATCGGCTTGAGCCATGCTGAAAGGGTGGTTGGAAGCAAAAGCTCTGGATCGGCATCTACTGTGTGCGGACAGCGCCGGTCAAAAAATGAGGTGTTGCCGCAAAAGCACACGTCCATTTGATGTCAGGGAACAAAAGAAATCCGGAACTTTTGAAAATGGGTAAAACAAGGGTGGGCACACCCGGATTGGAGGGTACCCCTTTTGGGCTTGTTTGCAAAGGAAACCAAAGGAACGCAAACAACTTCAGGGTCCTGACTTTGAAACAAGCCTGGGTGGACCACTAGTTGCTGAACCTTCGCCGGCTACCACTTTCTGGCGTCAAAGTTTAACGAAAACCAATTCTCCATTGGTCCCCTGACGCTGGGCTAAGTATGGTCAAACAACGAAAGTCACAAATATGTCAAATCTTGGCCGGACCTGAACCCCCACACCGCCTACAAAAAGACATTGTTTTTTTGCCGGGCAATGGTGTGGTGGTTTAACTTTGATCCATACCTAAGTGAGGTTAACTCATACGAAGGGAACGAAGTGGCACCAAAGGGAACCCCCCAAAGGCCACAAATGTTGACCACACCAAGTCTAAGTGGGGTTTACCCGCCCGGTGGTTTTTCTTTTGGTTTCCCTCCAAAACCACCCAAAAAAGGGGTACCAACTCAAACAAGACAAACCCCACGGAGGTTAACGGTACCAAATCCATACCAAGGGAACACAAGTGCCCAAAGGGGGGTGCCCTCAAAAACGGACACACCCAAGCGATAATCCCAACCATAGCTGGGTGCCCCTTGTTGATACCTTCTTGTATTTGTTACATGGTTCTGGGCCCGGACCATTTTAGTACCGATCGGATTTGAGTATGACTCAAATGCCGGTGGCCCCTCGCCCTTTTTAGTGGCAGACAAAGCTTCGTGACAAATTGTCGGGCCAATCCATTCGACCCAAAGTGAGCTTGACTGTGGCCAATGGGAAACAATGGGCGCCCTTTTGCTGTTTAAAGGGGAACTCTTACCCAAGAAAAGGAAAGAAGGGCACCACTGGGCAACAGAGTTTTGGAACCAAAGCTCAACCTGACCAGGCACGGTCAATTTGCAACGGTCAACTTACCAGCCACGGGTTTCTGTAAGTGCAGGATTGCGTCCATCCACAGTACCAATGAAAACCCAAAACGCCACCTAAACTCTCGCAGCGCCTCCAGGCGCTGCCACTCCTCCCCGAAGTCCCAGCGCAGCACGCCGGGCCCCAAGCGGCCCTCGGGGACCACCGGTGCGCCCGTTGCTTGTCCGTCGGTCCCCGAACCGGAGGAGCCGTTTTGAGCCCCCAAAACGGGGAAGACGGCGGAAAAGTAACACCCGACCACGCCAAAAACTAATTCTGGGAGCAACCTACATTGGGAACTGTGAGGGACTGAATCACACTCCTTCTTCTGTGAAAACAGGGTTGAGATAGTTTTAAAGCTCTTCACAACCCGATTCTACTATGTGGGCCCTGATTGAAGAAGGGGAGCCAACCGGAAACCTTGCCCAAGCAGAATGCCAAAGGCGGCATTTCGCAGCAACCACTCCAATGTCAGCTTTACCTGGCACTTCACCATAGCTTCCAGCACATCCTGGAGGTGCTGGCAAAAACACAACTTGATCAAATGGCTGCTTATTCTGTGGGAAGAATCCCTAGACGGTCGGGGCGCATCGTGCACCTCTTCCACGTCTTGCCATGGCTGACGCTCAGGGCCCCTCTGCGGACGCAACTCAGGGGTTGCCCTCTTAAAAGACGCATGGGGCGTGCATCAAGGATGACCATGGCGGCAACCCACTAAAATCATGATATGTCCCATTAAATAAGAAAAGATACCCTAGGTCATAGTGGGGCCAGGAATATTGATCAACCCCCACATGCCTAACCCTCGGGCATGTCTCAAAAGAGCGTAGGCAACAGCAAACGTTATCAAAAACATCAGAACCCCCGATTCTGCATCCCTGGACTCCATCAATCACCCCAACGAGAAGTCAAGTCCCTTTTGGCCACAATGGGTGAGTTCTTGTTGAAACGACCAGTTGATCATGATCATGTCAACCCAATGGCTTATTGTTGGGCCCTTCTAGCGGTGATGTTTCGACCAACGACCCGCGAAGAACCGACCACACCAAAAGGTCAGGAAAAGGTCGCCCGCTTGAGCAGCATGCTAGGGCCTAAACAATTTTACAACTTGAAATTGAGTCACGATCCCAAGTGAAAAACTTCCATTTGCTTTTGCTTAAGCCCCCTGCAATACACCAACGAGGGCAAACAACACACACGCATATTCTTCACCAAATGGAAGATGATATGTGCAAAGCATTTGCCCCAAGATCCCGAGGCCTGTCCTTTCAGGGGTTCTGACTAGTAGGTAGGGTCTCCGGATTAGTCCGAAGCTTACATTCTTATCCCAAGATTCTTCCAGCTGTACCTTCCCCATTCTCTTCAGGGATCCTTTTCTTGCAAAAACTGGGGGCCAAAGTTGTGATACCCGTGGGTGGTCTCTAAAGGAAACGGAATCAACCCGTATCCCAGACCCCCACCCAACCACAACAGGGCACATGGCTGGCTTTGTCCGGTTGTTTTCTGGATGTCCAAAGATTGCTTCGGTGTTCCCTTGGCTTTCCCGAAAATACCCAAACGGAGTACCAACTCAAACAAGTCAAAGATACACGTTTCCCTGCATAACCCAGCCAAAGGGTCGGTAGCAACAAAAAAATAGATACACTCACATCTTGGGTAACTCGTTGGCTTGCAAGCCCCTGAAAAAAGAAAACAAAAAACACAAGAAAAAATGTCCCGCCCCGCGGGTTCTCGTTGAGCTGCCGGGCCCAGCAGTTCAGCTTCCGGCCCCGCTGGTCCTCGCCTTCGGCGTTCGGCGTTCGGAGCTTTGAGCCCCGAATCTGAGAATTCGGCGGGCGGCTCTCCGGAAGTCGGGGTGTGCAGAACGGGACGAAAGGATTTTGGGCTTGTTTTTTTTGGGGGGAGAAGGGAAACCACCATTGAGGTGGTTGTTCTTCTTGTTTTTGAGGGGAGGGGTGTTGGTGGGCAGTTGACTGGTGGCTTCTTTTGGTTCACCAAAAAGGGAAATGGAACATCTGGGGAAGGGTACGCAGCATATCATGTCAAAGCTGTCACAAACAACATGGACGAGACCCCCAGAGAGACGAACAAAATGCTAGGTCGAAGGCTAGGCCATGTTCTCGGGGACGGATTCGTTCTCTGAACGTCAAAACTGCAAATCAAACCGAAAAGCATGCAAAAAACCAAGAAGAACGCAAAACATTGATACAAACAGAAGCTGAAGCCGCCACAAGAAAGCACGCCAATGACACATAACGAGAGATGATGTCAAACCAAGAAACTGTACCAGAATAAAATACATGATGACAAACGCCAAAGAAAAGCCAAGAAAAGAAAATAAAGAAGCTCTTCACAATAATGATTTGCCCCACACGGTAAGGCCTAGAAGCCTGGCATCACCAAACTTGCCGGCCAACTACAATGGGACTGACTTCTGATCATTGCTAGATGGAGATCTGCCAGCAAATTGATTGAGGCGTTCCAGCAATGAATTTGACACATGGCCAAGCACAGGTTTACCTGGCAAGAGGGGTGTTATGTCAAAAGTGAGCCGCCCTAAAATTCGCCTCGGCCCCAAAGGGGCCAAGGGCGCTCAGATCTCTTCTCCAACGGGAATCTTCGCTCTCCCCAAAATTTTGCCGGGCCGCCCCCCCCACCCATGTCGGCTGGCCCAAAATCCTGTCCGGCGGGCCTTGAAATTTTCGGGGTTCGTCGGCGTCCAGCTCCATGGGTCCATTTTTGTCCAAAAACTAAAAAATTGCTTTTTTGTTTGAAAAGCATGACCTCCGGCTGGCCAGGCCTGTCTGACGTGTCTGAGACTAGGCTCAGGCCCAGCCCAACCCGCCTGCTGGCCAGGCCTGTCAGCCCAGCCCACCCAGCCTCAGGCCCAAGCTGTCTGAGCCCAACCAGCAACCCGCCCAAGCACGGTTGAAGGCCCCGGCGCATCTCAGGGCATGCCAGCCACCAGGCCGGCCCCCAGCTCCCAGCCCACCAGCAGGCTCAGCCCAACGTGTCTCAGGCCAACACTGGTTTCAAGCTATGCCAGCTGCTAAGCCTGTCTGACGTGCCCCAGCCCCTCAGTCCAGCTGCCCAAGCAGCTCAGCCCAGGCTGGCCAGGCCTTGTCGCGTCTGCCCCCAATCCACCAACTCAGCCCCTTTGAGTCACTCAAAGTATGCCAGCCTGAGACTAGCCTCAGGCCCAGTCCCTCAGCCCGCCTGCTGGCGTGTCTTACGTGTCTGCGACTGGCCTCAGGCCCAGCCCAGCCAGCAACTTGCCACCCAGCCTCAGGCCCAAGTGTGTCTGAAACAGGCCTTGCCCATCCAGCAACCCGCCCAAGCACAGCTCAGCCCAGCCCGCCCAGCCCAAGTTCCAGGCGCAACCAGCAGCGGCAGCCAGCAACCCACCCATGGCTTCGCAGCCTTGTGGCTGAGACTGGCTTCAGGCTCAGCCCAGCCTGCCCAGCCCAGGCCCGGCGCATCCTCAGCCCAGCGTGCCAAGGTCAGGTTTGTCTACTGTGTCTGAGCCTGGCCTCACGCCAACGACCAGTCTCACGTGTCTGAGACTGGTCTCAAGCTATGCCAGCCCAAGCAGGTCAGCTTGACCTCCTGCTCACATCTGGCCCCAAGTCATCCAGCAGGCCCAGCCCCTTCGGCGCAGTCTGAGACTGGTCTCAAAGTATGCCAGCCTGAGACTAGCCTCAGGCCCAGTCCCTCAGCGCGTGTCTTACGTGTTTGCAACTGGCCTCAGGCCCAGCCCAGCCAGCAACTCGCCACCCAGCCTCAGGCCCAAGTGTGTATGAAAAGCACGGCTCAGCCCAGCCCGCCCAGCCCAAGTTCCAGGCAATCAGCAGCGTAGTCCGGCTGCCCGGCAGCCAGCAACCCACCCATGGCTTCGCAGCCTCGTGGCTGAGACTAGCTTCAGGCCCAGCCCAACCAGCAACCCACCTCAGCCCAGCCTGCCCAGCCCAGGCCCCGGCGCATCTCAGCGCATGCCAGCCACTAGGCCGGCCCCCAGCTCCCAGCCCACCAGCAGGCTCAGCCCAGCGTGCCCAGTCTCACGTGTCTGAGACTGGTCTCAAGCTACGCCAGCTACTAAGCCTGTCTGACGTGCCCCAGCCCCCCAGTCGTTCCTGACCCTTCCCTCAAACTAGGCTGGGCCGAGGCGGGCAACGCGAAGCGTTTACAATTACCAAACGTGGTGTGTCCCGGGGTGTACGTGTGTCCCTATACACCAACCTCAAACAAAAGTACCCTTTAAAGCTCTCCCTGTCTCTCGGACACACCCATGTGGTTGTCTTGTTCTTTTTTACAACCCCCGTAATCCGAATCAGAATCTTCCAAACACTTGTGGCTGTGTACAAACGTCCACCTGCTTCACACGCCCTCTTTCCAATAGAACATGGACCATTGGGGCGGCCTCTTACGAGGTGTCACCTTCCCTTTGAGTTTCACTTCGGATCAGGGAGTGGCTAGGCAACCAAACGGTTTCTCCTTAGTCAAAGGCAGTAGTTCGGAACTCAATCCTAAGCTGCTCACGCACAGGGCCTGCAAATGAAGGGTGATAGCTCTGGGATGTCCCCAGATCCCTGCTAACAGTGACTAACTTTTAGTGGACTAACAAGAGCTCAAAAGCTCAGGAACCGGATGGCTGGGAACCACCAACAGCCAAAAAGGGCTGCCGCGAAACTTGCGAAGCCAAGAAACAAAAACCGCGAAAAGGCGCCTCGGTTTTGGCGAAGCTTTTGAGTTCTAAGCGGATCCGGTCAGCTCCGGCGGTTGAGCAAGGGTTGCAGCTGAGGCTTTTGCGTGGACGGCAACAGCGCCATCGAGCCTAAAGGACTTGGTGCGGTTGAGCGGGGGAAACCAAAGCAGGTTTCCCAAAAGAAGAACGCCTTGAGGTTGGGGGCGCTTCTCCCCAACAACTCAGTGGTTAAAAGTTAAGCCAGTTGCTGCCAACCAAAAAGCTTGCGGTTTGCGGCCCAACCATACTGTGGATGGACGAAATCCTGCACCACTCAACAAACTTGGGAATGATGATTCCCCTGTAAATACCAACAAACAAGGGGTTTCAACCATGTTTTCAAAGTGGTGCGAAATGGACTTCGTCCATCCACAGTAGCACAGGATCTTCGTCCATCAAGCTCGGTCTTACCAGAGAACATATCGTGCGAGAGTCGAGGCTGCGGCACGTCGTGCGGATGATGGACCTGACAGTCCGGCCAAAAAAGATCCGTGTCCGTGTCAGGCCCAAATGGAACCCTGGCAAATGGAAGCATGGGCTAAAACCTGCGGTCCCTTAGTGACCCTAGTGGTTTAATTTTAACCCACCCCGTACCCCCAGTGAACCTCCCAATCCCCACTAAAATAGACTAAAATGGGTGGTGCACCTACCCGAAAATGATACCATTGGTTTTGACCCACAGCCACTTGTCTGCGTGAGTCTTGCACGAGGGGAGACCCATTCGAAGCATAGTGTTGTGGTCGGGAGTACCCATTTTCCCTTTTGATTCACACCAAAAAGAGTACCCTCGCAAATGCGGGATTCTTGAAAACAAAGGGTTCAAATCCCGTTGTAGAAATCCAAATGAAGGCTATCCTTGGAAGATATCCCCCCGCACAAACAAATACGGGGTATTGCAAAAGAAGCCGAACACACGGCTTCGCTGAAATTCAACCCACAAGTAGAGGATCATGGATAAGCTCGTGGTGGAGCCAATCAAAATCTGACCTAAGCACCATGCCCACAAATCATGTCTCAGGGCGAGGGCGGGTTTAACAGATTGTATAACTGTATAACAGGAATCAGATCTTGAACACCTTTAAGAGAAACCTAAAGGTGGCAGTTTAGTGAACAGTTGGAACTAGATCTTGGGGTGTTTCCAGCAAGGTTCGGCCTAAACCCAAAGCTGCAGGTCCTGGATTTCGAACTGCCGATTTCTGAACCTGTGCCCGAAACCAATGGTCCAGTGGTCCAGAAACCGGGGGGGTTCAAGGGTCGGATCTGGGCGAAGGCGGAAAGGAAGGGACTTTCATCACTCAACTCATTTTACCCCCCCAAACAACCGTGAGAGCTCGCAACTGGCGCATCCCCAAATGGTCGCCGTCGATGCCACTTTCTAAATGTCCCCGGCTGGCAACCTGGACTACGAGCTACCCCGGTGTCCAATGGTAATTTTCTTCAGTTTTGGCGGGTGCGCCAGATGTCATCCTCTTAAACTACTGTAGATGAGCCTAGACTTTTGCTAACAATCCTGGAAGTGGACCTGTTTGAGAAAGGCTTTATCCTCCAAAGCTCTTCGGCCGTCCACAATTCATCAAGGGAGGGCCAGGGCAAATATGGGCGTGACCTTTTTGGGTCTTAGGGAGACAAAAGGGAAACAACCCACGCATTTCAGGGGTTCCGCATTGTTGAGGCACGCCCACATAGGAGTTCCATGTCGTGTTGTTTTTGAGGGGGTTTTGAAGGTAAACCAAAGCAAACCGCCCATTTTGGGTGTCTCCTCTTTTTGAGACAACCCCCTTTGGACCTTGGCTGTCCAAATTTGGTGCCGTGTTTCCGATTCCCGAGCTGCCCGGCTTCCCCTTCACCTCGAGGTCCGAGATGAGGTCGTCCCGCTGCTGGCGGAGTCTATTCCCCAAAAAGGCGCACCGGACGAAAAACGAAGCGCCCTCATGAAAACACGGGCAGAATGGATGAGGCCCAGCACCAAATGACTAGAATTCCCAAGACAACCTGACATGTTACAATCATGTTGGCATCCGCAAGCAAGTGACCTGTTGCCCTGAAGCAAACCAACACCCATACTGCGGATGGACAAATTCCTGCACTGGCTGGTAGGTCATGAGTGAGTCGTTTTCCCACAGGCTAGCTCACTCTCAGGCCAGCCCTGGTTTCGCGGGATGGGCCCAATGGGCCAACTTGTCAAGGTTCCAGATCGATGAGCCCCTTACATCTTCCCAAAAGGAAGCGCATCCTCCCAATGCTCGGGACTGAGAAAGGCTAACCTCCCACAGATATCCTGTACACTGGAGCGCCAATCTCATGTCCAGCGCTGCCAAGTGGAATCATAAACAATAATAAAAAGGAAACCAAGCCAAACTCGAGGCAACCCGGCTCTTGATGGCAAAGCTGGGAGGGGGCCCTTTTCTTGGCGGTTTCAAGGGAAACCCACTTCAAAGAAGAAGCAAAACCATCCGTCTGCATGTCTGGAGGTCTCCCCTGCAAGCGGATCCTTGTGTTCGGTTCCAGCTAAACTCCAACGTGCTCGGAAGTTCACTGGGCACACGGCTCACCGAGTGACACTCTCCATTTCATTTTTTCAGGCTGGCCCCCCCCCCCCACCAATAAACCTTTCGGGATGGTCGGTTGGGTTCCAAAGGTAAGATATATTCTGGCTCTGTCTTTGATTGTCATTGTCACAATCCAACATGTCGAAAGGTGATTTCGGCCAACCCCAGCAGCCACTGAGGACCTAGCCCAGAAGATCTTTTCGCCCTTGATGACGCCGCCAGACCAGGCACCTCCCATGCACTGGGAGCCGACAAAAGCGCAGAGTCATCGACAGCTCGATGCCAAGTTGCACGCGCGAGAAATGAGCCCGGGACATTCTCCAACCCCAAACTAAGGATGTGCGTTTCTATCTAGGAGTGTTACGTCAATGACCCGGACACCCGTCCCCCAGAAATTTGGCGAGGGGGCCCTTTCTGGAAAGAGAGACATCGCTGCAATGGAACTGCCTCATAATAAATTGGGGTGGATGGGGGCACTCATAAAATAGAGTCAACCATACGATGGATTCTTGAAACATCACAAGGGAACGGGGGCGCGGAGAGCATTTTCCTTGGGCGTGCTGAACCAGGGAGGCATCCGGTTCTAACGATTGGAGGCTTACAGTAAGTTGTGATTTGGTCGATTCCCCAAATGCGAAGCACGTAGGCACAAGCGGAACACCCTGTAAGATTAAATCGTTTGCGGTTGGTGTGCTGCAGGACATCTCTGGGGTTGCAACCCTAAGAAGAACAAAGATCGGATCAACACCTAGACCTGTGAAGGTTGCACCGATTCTTGTCACTCAGTCTTCTTTGGGGAAACTGCCAACATGTTTCGAGTAGACACTTTTCTGAACATGGATCTCTTCTCTGGGAGACCCACTCTACTGGTAACTTTGGCAGCCTTTCCAAAAACCCTTCGTAAGTACGTACTCTCGTTTGGGAGTCCCCGACTAATCCCTCAAGCGGGCCTTATTCAGGGCTTATCCTTGGCTTATGTATCCAGGGATGGCCCCCGTACGGTGGAGACCTTGGGAACATGGGTGTGTGTCAAAATATTGGGGGCCAGAATTGCAGTTTTCCCTTTGTCCCCCTTCAAACCAACTTGAAAAGGACACACACACACGCACACATGGGTTTGTCTCACAATTAGGAAACCTCCACAAAATTGGCTTCCCTTTGGTTTCCTTTGAAACCAACCAAAGATTCCATTTGCTTAAGCCCCCTGGAAACAATGAGAAACATATGTCCAATAGTGATAGATTCCCTGTAAACCCAACCGGGGAAAATAAACACATGTTCATTTCAGCAAATGGAAGAAAGGGGGTTTGCTTACGAACAGAAACCACCCACTAAGCAAATGGAAGCTTTGACACCAACCAAAGGGGTTGCCAACGAAAAAAGGCGCACGGGGAAGCAAGCAAGCAAGGAAGGAGGAACACACAGCGCATGCTGCTTCTTGACCGATTAACCAAAGAAAGTACCCGCTCTTGACCGGTTATTTCTTGTGTTTTTCTTGTTGCTCTCCTCAACCTATAGGGGTTCTTGCTTCATGCACAAAAAAAAACAACAACCAAAGGACCTTTTGCTTCACAAAAACTCGGTTGCTTTGTGCCCCCCTGCTAAATATGTATATATATATATTCAGTGGTTTAGTGGAAACCCCAGTTGTTCGCAAGAAGTTGAAGTCCTACCATCCCTTAGCAAAATGCAGCAAAGAAGCTGTAAAACAACATCCGTTGGTGGTCAACGGCAGTTCCGTTGGTGGTCAAATGCCATCCCTCAACCCACTGCTTGAGCAAAGGACCTGCTTTCTTTCGTGTTTTTCTTGTTGCTCTCCTCAACCCACAGGGGCTTTTCTAGTAGATGATTAAACCACCAGGTAAACCAGGCCCATCTATTTTGCTACCAAAACAAACAAAAAAAGACACCTATGTATAGAGTTGTTTTTGCGGAACAACCAGCCAAAGACCCCTTTTCCCTCAACGAAAAACCTCGGCCGCCGCGTCCAGCGCCGCCCCGCCAGCCGCGGGCGCCTTCGAAGGCGGTGCGCGGCGCCGCCGGCGGCGCCGCCCCGCGGTCCGCGAGGCGCTCCAAGACCTGGCCGCGGGGAGGGCGCGGCTCTGCGGATGTTGAACAAACCATGGTATGAAACAAAAATTCAATACACAGATCCAAAGAAGTCCAAGGAATGTGTGGATAAGTAGATATATAAAAAGCGATGAACCCTAATGAAGAACTAAGCATACTACATATATATATATACATATATTATATATATATATACATTCATTATGCGTATTACATAGGGTTGCAAACAACAAATACATGCGCCCACATGCATACAACCAAAGGTACACACAGGACAGATTGTACGCCATAGCAAGGTAAGCCATGGGAAGGTCAGGGCCCTTAGTGGTCCCTTCTGGCTGCAGCAGTCACTTATCGCCGGCTTTGCATTGCAGCGGCGCCCCTTGCTCTGATTTTGCATCAGTACATGATATGACATACATATAGTGAAAGGTCTGTGTGTGTACGATAATACATATACGGTGTTTGCGGAGCACGAGGATAAAGCAGGCCAGCCATCTGCCAGGACGGGGTCAGCTCCGACACCACGTGCGCCGCAAGAACATCGGTGAAACACAAGCAAGGGTGTCAACTGCAAAAGGCGCCCCTTTTGCCCATGGTCAGCTTAGATAAACCGATAATTGCTACCTCTGGCGCATTCACTCTCCACCAATACCACCTAAACTTGAAATGGTTATACAGCTGTGCGTCGTTGCACCCCTGCGGACAGCAAAAATGCAAAGGCGATCAAACATATAACCGTGGTGATCAACAAACCCCGAACCTCCCAGAACGTTGGGCCGCCAACCCAACCAATTTGCCTGCTCCCAGACAAAACAAAACACACCTCGCAGCCATTACCCGGTGGGAAACCCCTTGCCTTTCCCCCTCTGCACAAAAGATCTCACAAAAAACAAAGCAATTTCGAAACAGAGGTGGGAAACCCCTTACCTTTCCTCCTCTGAAAAAAAACTCAAAAAAGGCAAAGCAATTTGGAAAAGGGATCCCGCAACGAGCCCGGCACGAAAAAAGAAACAAGACAAACGAGCCAGGGCACCTCCATAGCGATCTCCTGCACATGCGCCTCCTGACCCGAATCCGGTGGACGGCTATCAGGTAACCCCATGTCGCCCGATACCGTGGATGGAGAAAATGGGTGTGGTTGCAAACATGCACTAAAACCTGCCCTCCAATTCCTGCTGGTTCAATTTTGACCCATACCCAAATCATGCACCTGCTGCTTGGTGGCTTCTCCAAGTATTCATGGGCTAGGTGGCTCACCCAAGTACTCACTGGCGCGGCTGGCTGCGTCAATCCACAATACCACCACGGGAAACCGAAAAAGGGGGCCCGAAAGTTAGAGAACTAGAGAACTTACTAAATCCCACCTAAAACCCTCACTTCCAGCTCACCTCAAAGGGAGCTCATTTGGCAGCGGCAATCAAAAAGTCAAGCGAGGTTGGGGATTGCCCGGACACGAAATCTAGCTTGGGCATTGCAGTAGATGCCCGCCAACAACAAACGTTGGCCCCGTAAACCCAATCCTGGTAACTACAAAGCTCGCAAAAGAAAACAATGCCCCTTTTCGCCGGCCACGCAAAAAGACTCGCTGCGTCGAATGCTAAGACGCATAAATCCAGAAAAACGAGACTGAACAAAGGATTCCCAATCAATGAAAGGGACCTCACCTATCACAGTTATCCAGACAACCAAAGCAATTGAGGGAATCCTTCTACAAGTAGAATGAAATGGCCCTTGTAGCATAGTCCGGGTTGACACCGAAAATGATACCGTTTACCGTTCATTCCCTTTCAAACAAAATATGTATCCTGAAAAAATACACGCCCAGACAAATGGGAACCAAAAGGAAGGGCACTTTCCGATTTTCTGGCCTTTGCATCGATTCCACAAGATGGCTGATGTCCTGTTGCTGTCCCATTCAAAATCTGGGACCTGTGTTTGGCAAGGTCAGCATTTGGTTTCGGGGCCCGGGTGAAGCTGTCCATGGAGAGCCTGGGCCCAAAAGCAGCGATGAAAGAAACAACTTGCAACATGGAGTTTGCTTTTTCCTATTTCAGGGTGTCCTTTCAGGTTGCTTGGGAAACAAACGGGCCGTCATTTTTGGGACTCCGGACTTTGGGCGCCACTTTGGGTGCGGGGGCCGCCTCCTTTTTTGGTCGGGTTTTAAAGGGAAACGGTGCGCGGTACCCTTTGGCAGGTTTGAAAAAATGGAAACCAACGGGAAAACTCCCATTTTGTGGGCCCCCTTACCCATTTGATGGTACCCTTTGTAGGCTTGAAAAATGGAAACCAACGGGAAAACTACAGACACACCCATATGGCTGTGGGTCAAAATCCCGTACCCCCCAGTAACCATCAACCAATCCCAACTAAAATAGGTTCTAAAATGGGTGGTGAATTCACCTACCCCAAGAATGGGATCCCGTTGAACGGTTTTGACCACCACATCCATTTGACAGCTGTCTTGGTGCCACTCCACTCGTTTGCGCTTTCCTGGCTCAAAGCCCGTGCGACCAGCTCCAAGGCGCCCCGGTGCCCGCCTTGGATCAAAAGTTGGCCAGTTGTCCAAGGATTTGGCCAGTTTTCCAAGGGAAATTGTGGTTTTCCTTTTGGCTTTTTCTTGTAAAACCAATCAAAACTCTAGGGGTTGATTCCAACCATTCTTTCCAACCATCGTTCTGTTCGAAAACCGGATCCGTTTCCCTGGGTTCCCGGAGGGTTTTCTAGAAAGAAGGATCCCTGGAAAGAATGGGGAAGGTAGCACTAGAAGTTTGGAAAATGTGTCGTTTCAGGCGAATTACCCCCCTTTTTGTTGAAGGCTTGGAAGGGAAACCAAAAAGGAACCAATTCTGATGTGGTCCTCAAAGAAAAAGCGATGCACCCATGATTAGTATAGGTGTTCAGTTGCCCACAAAAAACCTTGCAACTGAAGCCTGCGAAGCCATTGGTTGCGGGAACCCGGTGTCATCAACCCCTGGCTGGCGTTGCCCCATTGAGGGAGTCCCTGGAAACGATCGAGAACTCATGAGGTTAAACCCCGAGTGCATGCGTTTCTGAGAACCTTTCTGGCAAGGGTAACAGGGCCCTAAAGCCTCTCTCTCTCTCTCTCGCTCTCCCTACCCAAAACCCTCGCCCCTACGCCCCTCCAAAGGAACACAGGGACAGCTCCGGAGATTTGTGCCAACCCCTCAAATACCAACGGCACTGTTTCTTCTTTGCGCTGATTGGCGGCGGCAAGCCCATTGAGGGCAGGTCGTTAGACCCTCAGCACCCAGTGCCACAAGGGGTAGGTGACCAGCAAAACCCGTCATGCACCCAAAGGAACGAAACCCGAAGGGCTACTCATACTACCTTGCCTTGAAGCATGGAAGCTGACAACAGCCAAGACAAGCCAGAAATTGGGTTGACCTTTGTGGACCCAATTCCTGTGCAAGCCCGTCGAACAAAACAATGCCCTGAATGGATCCGTGGTCCAGCCAGGCATGTGGGATGTCTGAACAATTGGTGGTGTCCCTTGATTCTCCCTTTACAGCAACCAAAACACTACCCTCAGAACAAACACATGGGTATGTCACAAATAGGGGCCCTCAAACATTGTTGCATTTCCCCTTTTGCTTCCCTCAACAGAACAACCACAAAGGGCACAAAAAAAAAACACATACAACACCCCCAAAAGGGTATCAAACAAATCAACAAAAACGTAGAGCAACCCCAAACAAATCACCAAAACAACCAAAAATCATAAAACAACCCACCTAGAACAACCCCCAAAGCGTATTTCCACAAACCCCAAACCACCGGGGGAGAAAATAAAGGAAAAAACACCTCTCTCCGCTTACCGCTTACCGCCTGGGCCACCCCTGCGCGGCAGCTCCTGCAACGCTTTCAGGGCCGCCACCGAGGCGTCCGGGTACTCCGGCGAGAGGCAGTCCTTCGGGCGCGAGCGCTTTTGGGACCGGCACCAGCACCCCGGATGCCATGGGTCAAAATCCAAATCGTAGCAGTGAACATCAACCAATCCAACCACTATAGGTTCTAGAAGGGGTAGCCTTGATCAGACATATGGCCATAGGTCAAAATCCAAATCGTGCCCCCAGTGAACCGACTATACTAGATTAAAACGGGTGGTGAATTCACCTACCCCAAAATGGGATCCCATTGGTTTTGACCCACAGCCATGTGGGAGAATGAGGAACCAGGGAAATAGAAGCATTGGTTGCCCAGCCATTTGGGTGTGTCTTCAACTTCATTCTTTGGGAAGTGTGTCGTTTTTGAGGGTACCCTGTTCTTGTGGTTTCAAAGGGAAACACAGGGGTTTCAAAGGGGGGGGGGGCTTTTTTGAGGGTTCCTTCTTTTAATAGTCTTAAAGGGAAACCAAAAGGAAAACACCAGGTCGTGGAGTCCCCATAAAAACAGACACACACACACATTTTGACACAGTTGGATACGCCCTTAATGTAAACCCCTAGAGGTAGCCCTTTTGCTTGTATCCAATGGGCAACATGTGGCGAAACAGGGCTTTCCGAAATGAACTGGAACAGTCCTGTTCCATGCGTGTGCGAGTGTGTGTGTGTGTGTGTGTGTCGTTTTTGAGGATACTCCTCTTGGAGTTGTTTGAAAGGAAGGAATCCCTAGATTCTAGACCTGGGTCATTCCCTACTGAGCCCCAGCAAGACAAATTGACAATGGTTCAAACAACAGTGGTTCAATGTGTAAAAAGGCGGCCAAACGGTTTCTGCAGGTTCATCCACCAGCTTCAGGTGGCTTGGTGACTTTCTGGAACTTCCCATGCGAAGATCTTTCCCAGGGACAAAACAGCTTTCATACTAAGAGGCAATGTTGGTTCAGACATACAAGTCATGTAATCAACACCTGGTATCACATGAGTCCACCGAACAAATGCAAAGCATCAAATGGCGACCACGGATATTCAAGGTTGGACTCTACTGTACTAAACTTTATTTGCACCAGGTTTGGATCGTGGACAACCATTTGCAAGCAGTCAGGATTAGCCAAAACAAGTGCGAACTGTTTGCAACTATGGTCCAAACCCCAAAAAAGGAGTGCCCAGGAACTCGGAAAGCAGTACAAGGGAAGCGCCTTTTTGCGATTCGCCTAGTTTTATTGGTTTCCCGCAACCGAACAATGAGAAAACGCTCCGAATGCGCCGGACCGGGGGCAACCCACCTTACCCATATCTATCAGCCCGCTTTTGGGTTGGAACGTCTAAAACCTATGGGGTGAGTTCCCTTGTTGGTAGATGTTAAACGGAAACCAGGAGGAAAACCACCACAATACTTTGTTGGTTGGGGGGGGGCATTTGGAAAAATACACCCAAATGGTTTGAATTATGGACAACATCCTCTTCGCTCGATCCTGATTTGAATTCGCAAGGTCAGCAAAGGACATGGATCTACTGGAAGAAACAGCAGGATCTGCCAAAAAGGGGACACACACCTGAATCACGAATCCTGCCTGGGATGTGGTTTGGCGGCTTCAGATTGGACGGCCGGCACCCTTGTGCCCCCCTTTGTCCTCCAACAGGACCACTGCCTCGCAGGTGGCATTGGGGGGGGCTTCGGGCTGAGGGGAAGTTGATGCTGGCCTGGGCCCCGCGATTCACGGAGAAACGAAGACCCTCTACGGGTCCTAACAGAAAATCAAGCATTGCAGGTTGTCAAACAGTAATGTGGGAAGGAACAAGGTAGAGAGAACAACATCATTTGCCCCAAACGAGGAGGGTTACCCGCAATCATGCAAATTTGGGGCAATCAACACCTGTCCGAAAATCTTCAGCTATCTTCAGCTAACAGGTGTCGCGCCTGACGAAACCCCGCAGAGCGCTTAATCAGGTGGCAAGCGCCACGCCCAAATTTGGGGTGCGCCACAACTACTGAGAATGGACGAAATCCTGCACCACTGGAAACCATGGTTGCAACCATTGTTGGTTTGCATTTGCAGGGAAATCGGCTCATGCCAGGGTTTCTGAACTGTGTCCCTCTTTGTTTGGCTTCACAAAATCACCAGCCCAGTAAAGCTCCATTTCGGCGCAGCCCGCAGCCTTCTTTTCAAAGCCTAGCATTTCTCCCCCCCCCTGCCATGTCTTAAAAGCTTTGTTTTGGCCCCGATTGGCTGCAACCGCCCAAGCCCGTGCTTTCCCCACCGGACGTTTTACGTTTCCTTTTTGCTGCGTGCGTGAGCATTTCCTGCCTTCAGGTCTTCGGGGGGAGGGGAGCGGGGGAGGTCATTATACACGTGCCTATGTGCGTATGTTCGTAGCAGTCCTGGCACATGCTGTCTGATGATGTAGGGCTGTCTCTGTGCCTCGTTCTGCTGCTTCACGTATCTTCTCATTGTGTTCGAGGTTCACCCTGCGTGTATCGATCAGTTGCTGGAGCTAAGCTGCCGTTGCAGGCGAACTCACCTGGGACGTGGCGCGCCAAAACATGCTTAGGTAGATCAATTAGCTGCCATGAACTCCATTGACAGCCCGGGCTTGCAGACTTTGCTGGGGGCGGGCGCAGAACTGCGCAAAGCTTGCACGAATAAAATTGGCTGTTTTTGGAATCCTTCATGGACCTCGACGTACATAGCTCTTGGCTGTATCAGTGATTTGTGTGACGAGCGTGGGACAAAAGCGCATTGGAAGACGCCTGCCAATGGGGGAAGTGTTTTGTTGCCCTGAGAAAAACTGTGTAAGTAAGCCTTTGGTCTGGCAATTTGCGCCGTGTGGCCTTATCCTCTGTCACAACCTGGCTTGCGCCCTTCCAGTCGCTGTCTGAGTCTGCAAACGGCCATTGAAGAGCTCACGGTTCAGTCGGAGGCAGCGCTGCTCTTCTGCGCATTCGGACAGAAGCTGCTCGCTGCAACGAGTCAGCCGCAACTACGTCAACCGTCACAGTGAGACATTGCTGCACAGGTCCGACTGCATCAGGGATGGGTATATAGTGTATGACCATGTTGCACACATGAACTGCACCCTGCGCAGTTTGTTGCATTGCAATGCATGACCCAAAAAGGAAAGTTGCAAACAAACATAGTACGGGCAGTCATATTCACACATGACATGCCCGCAGAAGAAGCTGCAAAGCTTCATGAGAAGGCTGCAAAGCCAAATGACACAAATGGGTACTCACCAAAGGCACACACACACAAACAATGCTACAAAGCTTTGCGAGCAGGCTGCAACGCCTTGTGATCTGACAGGGTACTGGCTGAATGCACACCTGTGACACCAAGCTGTGGGGTGCGATAAGCACACTGCAAAGCCTCATGGTATGACTGGGCACCAGTCACATGCACGCAGGAAACGCTGACAGCTGCAAAATTTGATGAAACAGCTGCAAAGCTTCTGTCATTCCAATCACAACATGCGTACTTTGCAAACCCAGCGCTTCCAGTTTTCACTACAGTAGGTAACCGGGTATGGCTACCTTCAGATTTTACAGAATGGTTTCCCCTAATACCTATGGTAACTGGAAACACTGGGAAACATAATATGTTCGTTGCTCCTCTTCACCTTCCAGGTGTTGCCTTCAAAGGCCAACACCTGTAGGTCGGATGCTCCACCAATGCACTCAGAGCTGGTAGGTTTGCAGTCACTTAGGTCACCAAGGGATCACCCGAGTGCACTTGGTACCCTTTGATTCGCTTGAAGGGCGACCAAAAAAAACACCACCATTTTGGGAGGGTTCCTATTTTGACACATTTTTTTCAAGTCCTCCTAGAATAAAGCGTCGATTGTTCCACCTGCCTCGTCCGCGGCAGCAAACTTCGCCAAGGCCATGCAAGCAGCCTGGAGGCAAACGCCATATGAGCCATGGTCAAACTCCGTTTGTGCCTATGGTCATGGTTCTCTCAATAGGAGTCATTACAATGGTTCTTAAGGATCCTTACTACCAGGTGCATGACCATCCCACTGTTAATCCCAAGTAAAGGAACCTGTCTTTTGACCATGGCACATATGGAATCTTCAGTTGGAGCCCTTTGCCCCAATAGAAGTTCGACTGTTCAACCTTCCGAAAGTTTAGCTGGAAACCGCCCCGATTTCTGGTGTTCTCCTTGTTTTACGATACTTCGACATAACCCCTGGCTCATTTGCTGGTCCCCAAACACCAGACATACCCAAAAGGTGAAACATCGTGTCTTTCGCAGAAAGGTAGACTTTCAACCACGTATCCACGTGTTGCTCAACTCTTGTTCGGAAACATCAAATCCAGAGCTGATCCAAACCTGGTCTATTGAGTCTACCAAACTGGCCGTGTCTTTTTTAGATGGCTTCGGTTCTCCTTTTGGTCTCCCTAAACCACAAACAGCAAAAGGAAATCTGCAAAAAGACACGCTCAAATGGTTTTGATACGGTAAGGGCTGTCTCCATGAAACCAGGCACTAGAAATCCTCCACACCTTGGACGACGTGGTTTTTGGCCTTCAGATTGCTCGAACACCTGGAGAGGAAGCAAACAGAACTCGGGGAATACGATGGAAAACGGTTTGGATGTGGCGAATCTGTGGATCCACCCTGTAGGATATTCTAGGTAACTACTAAAAACAAGAACCAACAGGGGAAGAACTGGTGAAATGCAGAAAAGGCGCATCCAAGCCGTTTTCTAGAAGAACATGTTCATGGACTTTGTTCTTCCCACTAAAGAATTTTCCCAACAAGTTAATCTAACAACTTGAGCAGCGGGGCGCACCCCTCTGTGGGAAAGAGGGAAACGATTCGCGTGCCTGTGTGGATCCATCCCTGTACAGTGTAGGATATAAAGAGAGGACTGAAAGCGAAAAACGGATCAGTCTAGGAAAGAATGGAGGGAATCCACAAGAAGCACATCCTAGCTGTTTTCCAAGTGCGTCGAAATCGAGAAAAACAAAAACAACTTGAACTAAAGTGGACCCAAAGCCCGAGTAAAGAAACATATCTGGGCTGTCCTCAGATTCTCTGCTAAAATTCTAGCTTTATACAGTGGCTTGGTGGCTTAAATGGAAACCCCCACTAAACCCTAGGCTAAACACCTGGAGCCGGAACTGGGAACCACCAAGATCTCTGCACCTGGTGACTCTTCCTTACCCCTGCTGAGCCCGGAAAATCGATTCTCGCGGCTCGCGCGCCTCCTTTAGCCTCTCTCGATGCGGCGGGGGCCGCTGGTTCTGGCAGCTTTGCGCCAAGCAATCCATCACCTTCGTTCGCATTTGCGCGCGCAAGCGCGCAAGCGCTTGGAACAACTTCGCACCAAGGCCAAGTCAAACTTGTTTGGGCTATGAAGAAACCTAACGAACAACTCGCCGTGTTGGGGGGGGGGCATTTCCTTTCGGATTAAACGGAAACCGAAAAGCAGGATAGTTACAAAGGGGGGGTAGTTTGTTCCCTGGTGTGAAAGATGGGTGCGATCAGCATACTCAGGTCTTCGGCCAAGTTGGCCTTTCGTAGTGTCGACTCTGCTTGGATAACTTACAGGTGGGACTTTGAGAACATCCAAGGGGAAAAAGCTAGATAATGGCTGCTGATCTACAACCCCAGTTGTTCACTAAGAAAAAACACCCATATGGTGACCACAAGAAACCAACTAAGACCCCCAAGCTTCCCTCATTTCACCGAGCCCCCTTTGAACATAGAAGCTCAATCAACATTGGCAACCAGGCGACGTCACCACCCAAAAAGGGAAATATACGGACCCTGTTCTAGGGGGCATTGACATTTCAATACTAGGACATCCAAGTTATGCCTTTGGCTAGTCCACGTGCCACTTGTCAAATGCTTCGCCAAGAAGCAAGGGATCCTCGCGAAATGGCCCTTCTCAATCCCCCCCCATTCTGGGACTTGCCCTCCTTTTGCATCGAAATTGAGCAGCGCCCACATTCCCCATCAGCATGTAGCCCATTTGCGTCTGTGGGGCGTTCTAATACTTGGTTTGTTGCTTGATTCATGAACGTATCCTCTCAGGCCCTTCTGAATTCACGCTGTTGCACTGCCTGGCTCCAAGAGGCAAAGACAGGCCCTCGCAACAGGAAAAGCGTGGCAGGCATGCCGAACGTGTACATTCTGGACAAACAAGCATAGGTATACAAGTAGTAGGTATGAAAAGGCAATCAAGGTTGCTGAACTCCAAAAGGGTTGGGCGGCTTCTTCGAGGTGCTCTTTTGGGGGAGGGGACCCCCACCCCCCAAAGAAAAATTGGGGACGAACCCGCATGTAGAAGGGGGATTGCAAACACGAAACAAGCAGCCAACCACAGACACGGTTAAACCGGGTTGTTGGTGGTACCCGCAGTGGAACCCTGAGATGTCCTGGTGGATGAAACGCGGTTTGTAGGCTTCCCCCCGTGTCGAATTCGTAGCGCAAAAACTCTGGGTAAGGCTCAAGGAACTGACAGTCACAAACCATCACCTTTGGGTTGCCACTGGACCGCTTGCTTTGCTTGGGGAAGTCTGCGGTGGTTTCAAGACTCCCGGCGCCGGCTCGTAAGCTAGGGAAGATGGCCAGAAAGCACGGATGATTGAATCGGCAAACCAGCAAACCAGCAACAGGCTTGGAGAACGGCAGGCATAAATCCCGCAAAAATGGGGGGGGGGGGGGTTGAATAGAAAGGTGATTCATAGTAGGCGCAGAAGAGACAAACCCTGGAGGCTTGCTCAGAGTGGAAAAAAATGTTTGGGGAAACCAACTTTCTACCTTTCACCAACCCGCTACTGTGCTTTGGTCCCAGACTTGTCGATTTCCATGGAGACACATTTGGCACCAGGAAAGTGCCTCAACAAGCAGCACATGGGTCCTTCATCCCTGCCAGGCTTTGCAACTCGGTGGAAACTAGGAGAAGGCAAAAAACAGGGGTAGGATCCCCCTTTTTTAGAGACTCCCTCCCTGGCTGGGTTTCCGGGTTCCATGAATCAGAGAAACCAGCAAGAAGTACAGCAAGTTTCCACATCAGCGGACCCAGGGTTTCATGTATATTACTGACATCTTGGAATTCATCTGCAGAAGTCGAGCTTTTGAACCCTTGATCCCTAAAACGTCCGATGCGCTCGCGCCTGGCGGTTGCCTCGACTCGCCAACTTGGGCAAGGCCTGCGCGCGATCCTCCCTGACCCAAAAAGACTGTACACTGAAAACCCGCTGGCATTAAAATCTGACTGGGGTTCCCTAAATGACCCTTTTCCTCTAAAAGGAGGGACCTTCTGGTGAAAGTCCATGTAAGTTGGTGGGGGGGTAGGTCTTGAGTCCCCCAAAACGCATGAGCAAAAGTGAAGGCAGGGCCCAAAGTACTGTGAAAGTGGGAGGCCCTAAACCTCCCATCAAACAGCCAGCATGGCTTGGTGCCCAGGAACCGGCAAAATGATCGTGTTCCGAAAGGGGTCTGTGCACTCCTATGTTTGCCTGGGTGAAGGAAATAGCTGACAAAAGGCACGCCTGGAAACGGTGGATTCTCTGAATGATCCAGGCTGAACTTGACCTGACAAGCGCGCGCATGTACGTATTGGGGCTGAATCTTCAGATGGGTAAAGCATGGCAATTCCCAGACCCCGTGGCCAAGCGGAAAAAGAACAGTCCTGTGTTTGGTTGATTTTAAAAGGAACCCCATCCCAAACTGGGCACATCCGGGTGGGCTGAAGGCCTTCGCATCCGCAGGTAAGATTCATCCCCGAACGTTTGAATCGGTCCACCGCAGCCTGGTCACTCAGTCGCGAAAACGCCGGCCACTGAGGCATAACATGGCCGCAATGAAGCTTAGGGTCAGTGGCAATGGCAACCGTCCTTTCTTTCGGGAAATCCAGCATTGGCCGAACAGCCAGTACAAAGCGTTTCCAGCAATCCCCGCGTGTCGGAGGCCAAGCGCATATACTCATCTAAGATCAGGTTTTTTCTCCGCGTTTTACGCGTCTTTTCCTTGTCCAAGGCAAATCGACAAGATCTGTCCTTTTTTTATTTTGCAACTTTGATCCCTCGCATTTGGCCGGCCGCGACCATGTTTTTGGAGCTCGCCCAACAAAAGGTCAGAAGTTGCCTGAGCGGCTTCCTCACGGCCGGTCTCAGCGGTTTCGGCCGGTCTCGGCTCTTCCATGCTTCCCTTTCACCGGCCCCGACAAGAAAAGCTGCAGAAGCTCATTTGAACCACCAAAAAACTGGGCAAAGGGAGGGAACTCCTACCAAGGCGACCACTTTGGGGTTGGAAGGAAACACCAAACGGTGAGCTCCATTCGCTTTTGAGTTGAAGGTTTGGCGGATTGGAATGTAAGCTGAGAGCTCGCAGAACCACCGCCGAATTGTAGAAGTGGCTGGATTCGGCGGGTAGTTCCTTCAAAAGTGAAGGATACCCTGATAAATGAGAGACATCTACCGGGGTATGAATCCTGTTTTCCCAGATGTCCAGCGGCGACGGGGAAAAGAAGCGTGACATCTTGTTTGGTAGTTGACTTTAAAGCAACAAGCGAAAAAAGAAAAAGAAACAGAAAAAAAAAAAAAAACACCATTCGATGACTGGGGCATTGCTACCCACTTAACTCCCCAGACCATCCACTGGTGTTGTCCGGAGTTGCGGACAAGTGCCTCGAAGCTATGGCCGGAAACTTGCGAAACTGACCAGTTGACTAGCCAAAGCAAGTGGGTCTGCCTTGTTTTGTGCAAGGGAAACCAAAAGCAAAACCCCCATCTTGGGGGTTCCCCAAAAAAAAGACACACCCAAGTTCAACTTGTTGGTTGATAAAAATGACAAAGACATCTGCTAAACAGTAGTCGGCCAAGCTGGCAACACGGAAGTGGCGCTCCCTGGAAATCATCCAAAAGGGGCTGAGCACCAAGCCATGTTTGTTGGGAGGGTACACCTGGATCACAACTATCAGCCCGGCCTCAACGTGTGTGTTGCGAATATCTGGCTCAATTCTGAAGATCCATGTTCAACAAGCCATAGGCTCACTAGTGGACTGGAAGAAGCGCCTCGTTGCCATATAGCATTCACACCCCTTGAAAAAGGGCTGACCATGTTTGGGCGGTTAGAGAAACCAAAAAACTACCACCCACTTTGGGGTTATCCATTTGGACACAGATCCATTTCAAGAATGCCACTCCGAACATAGTCATCAAGGTTCCTTGTATATCCCTTTTACAAATAGCATGAAAATAAATATGAAGAATATGTAAATCAACATGAGCTCGAACGGGCTGATCAGATTCAACTGAATGGTACACCCAATGCCCAAAGTTGTCGTTAAAGCAACCCCGCAAGCTAACTCAAAAAAGAACCATGTTCCATATTAATGTCCCTGCTATTTGTTTCTCTCCCTCTCTAAATATATATATACATATATATATATATATATTTGTTTGCTGGTGCCGCAAAAAAAGGTTCTTTCCCTGTTTGGTTTCCATTCAAAACCACCAAAAAGCGGTACCAGCACAAAAACGACACCCACTTATGTATATTATATATAATATATATATAATATATGTATACATCATTCTGGGCGCATCTTTCCCCTTCTCTGCATGGACCGCGTCTCTTCAACCCAAACCACGGGCGCTTCGGCCACTCCGACGTCGCCTGGGCCAGGGCCACATGCACGGCGCGGTCCGCGTCCTCGAGGCGCCGCAGCACCTTCCGGGCGACTCGACCCGCGCCGTCCGGCAAGTGTTGGGCTGCCCTCAGATCCAGGGTGAGGCAAAATATGGTTTAAACAACACCTGAAGAAATCATCAGCATAACCGATGGTTTAAACGTGTTTAAACCGATGGATAGCCCCACCCTACTCAGATCCCCCGAAAAAAGTTTGACTCTTGATGGGTGAAATGGAAACTACCACAGCTAAGGGGATGGCCGGGAGCCACAAAGAAAACGTGTGGGTGACCCTGCGCATTTTTGGTAGCCATGACACGGACACACTGAGATCCGATGCGGATAACCCCGGGATTTTTGGTAGCCATGACACGGACCCACTGAGATCCGATGCGGATGTGACCCTTGTGACACAGACCGACTGAGGTCCGATGCGTGGGTGACCCCGGCATTTTTGGTAGCCATGACCCGGACCCACTGAGATCTGATGCGGACGTGACCTTTCGCATTTTGGTAGCCCTGACACGGACCAATTCAGATCCTATGCGGGGTGATTTTAACATGTGGTGGTTCTTTGGTGATTTTAGATTACAGCGCGTAAAGACGTGAGACGTGAAAGCTGCGGCTTCCAACAACCCTGCTGAACGCAGCCCCCGCGTGGTTTTATGGTTCCATCCCTGTGAAATAGAATTCAGAATCTGCTGCCAGTGCACATTGTTCAAATTTGCCATGGTAGTGTATGGTCCCCACACTCGAGCATGGAAACCCTTGGGCTAAAAACCTGGCAATGGTTGGTCATGGTTTATACCATGAACTTCTCAGTCCAGGGATCGATCGCCTGGGCACATAATATTAGCAAAACAACATAGGCGTGTGCAGTCCGGCCTGTGGGTTTGTTTTTAGGAAGGCAAACAACACCATTTGGGTGTTCCCCTCTTTGGACACACAAATATCAGAACTTTTATTGGACCCGCGAACTGCCAGGTCGGTTCTTTTGTTGAGAGTCCGTCCACAGCCTCATTTCCCATACGCTCATTTCAGGCAAGCCACTTCACAAACACAACTAGTAACAGAGTGAAAGCATTGGACATCGACTATTGCTTGAACATCCTGGCCTTGAGCAAAAAAGAACGGAACCCACGAAAGGTGTTCTGCTGATGTTTAGCAGAGTTTGTAAGGATTTCACCAGAATCCCCCTTTCAAACCGGAGAATTACCCTACAAAAACCAACATGAACCTGAAACCGGGGATTTTGGAAGACCATCTCCGCCGCCCAGGTCGTCGCCCATAGTCAGCGAGCAAAGCACCAGAACAGGAGCTGGCGCAACCCGATGGAGGCAGATGTCGAGCAAATGCCGGACGCCATAATCCCTACTGTGGATGAACGAAATCCATTTCGCGCCACCGTTCAGAAACCCTGGAGATATGATTTTCCTGTAAATACCAACAAAATGGATTCAAAGTGGTGCAGGATTTCGTCCACCCACAGTACCAACTGGACTTCGTGCACCGCGATGTGCACAAACCGCAGTTCAACGACCAAGTCCGATGCCTCTTCAGTTGGAGACCCTTGAGTTTGTCGTGAAAGTTGTGGTCAAATAGAAACGCTGGGCTTGCCATGGGACTCCAGCAAATGGGCATACATTTTTAGTCGGGGATCCTTTGGGGATCCACCAACCACTCTTGAGTTGGTTCCTTGAAATGAAGAGCCAAATAGGCATTGAACATGTTAATGCCGTTGGGCCGATTCGAGAACGCCCGAGAACTATACCATGCGGACAGTCTCCGGGTGTGCCCTGTGGTCATCATGGGGATTTGCGTTCAACCACTTTGGATCCATTCCGGATTTCCAAGTTCGGAGCCATAAAGCAAGGGTGCATCTTGCGGCAAGAGCAACGGCCCTGAAAAAGAGCAGATTCGGCCAACGACCCCTTCCTAAAGCGGAAACGCTGCTCCACGCTTCCAATGAACCATCCTGTATCCATGAGCTGAGCCAAAACGCGAGTCTCTGCTAAGGCTTGGATAAAAGAAACCTGCCGAAATAAGATCAAGACTGATCCAAACCTCGCAAAATACGGATCCATGCGTCAAACGAAGACTGGAGAACCTGGGAGTGGGACATATTGCCGGAACCTGGTCTTGATGCCCACATCTGGGTTCATGGCTAACTCATTGCCACACGAATGCCCCATTGCGGAAACAGGCTTGAGCAATGCTCACCTGGCTTTTGGGAGGGGGGTGCGCCTTTGCCTCCACTCGACGGACCAACGAAACAAAAAGAACAAACGATGGGTTTGGATTGAATTGGGGGGGCCCCAAACAGGATCATTTTGAGACATGGGTCCTACGTCCCCTTTAAACATGTTCAATCCAAAACACCTGACACCCCAAAAAGCTGCGTCCAAAGCTTCTCTGCTTTGCCCGCAAGGAGTACCAACACGAAAAGCACCACACCGTCAGATGGCTCTTAGAGAGAAACCAAACAGTTGCTTCAACAATGTCCGCGTACACCGAAAGGTACATGGCAGAAGCTCACAATATATCTGTGTCGTGTTTAGGGTCCGCCCAAAATGGCGGGCTTTCTTGTTGGTGTCCCTTATAAGCCACCCAAAAAGGGTGGCCTTCAGAAAACAACCACATATTGAGGCAAGAGAAGGACTAAATCCAAGTGGGTCGGAATTGAACGACTCTTCTCCAACTGTACAAAGTTGTACAAAGACGTGGTTCAACAACTTGCTGGTGCTCGGCAGGGAATGAGGGAATGATCCTTATAAACCATCCAACTGGCTTCCTTTAAGGGGACCGACGGGCTCATTCCATTTCTCATGGCCTACTTCGCCGGCTTGGCGCCTGTGTGAGGATCTCCGCGTCATCTCTTCCCTCAGTCGCTCGAGGTGTGTTGGCCTGAAACAAGGTCATCCTTTCGGGGCGAGAACACTTCGTCCGTTTGGGGTGACTGCACTTTTCCAGGTCCTCCAGTAGAGAGGACCAGAAGAAGGGTGCCAACTTTTTTCCTCTAGTCTATTTTAGTTGGGGAACCCTCCCAAAAAAAGGCGAAAAGGGCACTACTGGGGGACCTAGTAGTTGGTGCAAACGCTAAACGCTTTACGGGATATGTTGTGAACCCCTCCAAACTCTGGAATCTTCAAAGTCTGAGTGTCTAAGGAGAGCCGTTTGGCTTGTAATCGCCACGGTGCATGGATGGGTTGGACCCTTGGTGAGTTGGAATTGGCTTCGCATTTCGAACTTGGCCAGACTGGAAGCTGCAAGAACATATCCAGGAAACCCACCGCCTTCAAGAGCGCGCAAAGAGGCCAAAGTCTGGCAATGCAAAGGCTCCCCCAATCGATATTGATCTGCAAAGTCTACCAGAATTCTCCGAAACATAAACTACTCACTTGCTGAGTGGATGCCCCAAAAAAGTCCAAACTTTATATTTAACACTAAAATGGTCTTCCCAAAAAGTTTGAAGCTCATGAACTCAGGAAGTGAGTAAAAACATAAACTAAGGACACATCATTCGGCTCCTATGGGCCTGGCTGACAGGCTGGACAAAGCTCGGAGTGCCGCCGCGCGCACACGAGCCTGGCGCGTTTTGCCATGCGGCCGCGCAGCTGGCGGGAGCTTCCGAGCGACCGTTCCGGCCTTTTGTCGCACCGATCGAGTGGACTGGCAACAAAAGTCCAGGAACGTGTTGTTTGCCACCAAATTGTCTTTCCAAAAAGTGACCAAAGTCCATGAACTCAGGAAGTGAGTCCCGCATGCAATGGCCGAGATGCTACAATTCATTATGAGGATGTCCCAATCAAGCAAGGGAGGAAACTAAAGGCACCGACAAGTCCCGAGAAAGAAAAAACAACAGGAAGAGTTCGGAAGGCATCTGATTGCAAGAGTTCCGATCGAAGATTTCAGATCGCACTTTTCTGGTGAATTGGGGGGCCCAATGTTCCTCCTGACTACAAAACCCTGGCGGCTTTCCTGCATGCAAAACAAACCAAGTCAAGACATGTCAAGACCACATGCAGCCCGGATCGACATAGCGAACAAGGTCTTGGCCTCCCCATTTCAGGATGAGCACGCAGTGCAGCAATCAGCTACTCGCCTTGAAGCCCCCAGCAAGCATATTAGCCCATGGATCTTGCTGTCATTCGCCCACCACACGGTGTGCGAGTTGGCCTCAAGGGCTCGCTGGGGGAGGATGGGACTCCCCAAATGCTCGCCGCCCACCCGGCCACCGGTGTGAAGGACCCGGAGATTCGAATCCGAGGCCCTCTTGGGTAGGGCTAGCATCCGCACATGCGCAAAAGCCATTTCTTCACACTGCACAACCTGACAACCAACAGGAGACAATGTAAATCATCGCGTGTCTTGCGCTTGCATTGCCGCTTAAAGCTATCCCTGCAGTATGAAAAAACATTATGTACAGGGATGTCTTCAGTTGGTTGAAGATCATATTGTTTGCTTACCCGCTACAAATTTTGGGTAAATGGGGATTGCTTCAAACGAAGTGTCACAACATGTCCAGGAGCCATCTCATCAAAGCACACGGCAGGAGCGATGTGACACTCAGACCCGCAACCGCGCTGTGCTGGGGAAAACACAACTTGCACGCACTCAAGCCAACTCAAGGAAAAGCAAAAAAACAAGAACGGTACGCTCAAGGCTCGGCACACTTCGCACCGACACACCCACTCAGTCAGTGTTGGCCTCCCCATTTCAGGATGAGCACGCCGTGCAGCAATCAGCTACTCGCCTTGACATGGATCTTGCTGTCATTCGCCCACCGCACGGTGTGCGAGTTGGCCTCAAGGGCTCGCTGGGGGAGGATGGGACTCCCCAAATGCTCGCCGCCCCACACCCGGCCACCGGTGTGAAGGACCCGGAGATTCGAATCCGAGGCCCTCTTGGGTAGGGCTAGCATCCGCACATGCGCAAAACCATCTCTTCACACTGCACAACCTGACAACCGACAGGAGACAATGTAAATCATCGCGTGTCTTGCGCTTGCACTGCCGCTTAAAGCTATCCCTGCAGTATGAAAAAACATTATGTACAGGGATGTCTTCAGTTGGTTGAAGATCATATTGTTTGCTTACCCGCTACAAATTTTGGGTAAATGGGGATTGCTTCAAACGAAGTGTCACAACATGTCCATGAACCATCTCATCAAAGCACACGGCAGGAGCGATGTGACACTCAGACCCGCAACCGCGCTGTGCTGAGGAAAACACAACTTGCACACACTCAAGCCAACTCAAGGAAAAGCAAAAAAACAAAGAACGGTACGCTCAAGGCTCGGCACAGTTCGCACCGACACACCCACTCAGTCAGTGTTGGCCTCCCCATTTCAGGATGAGCACGCCGTGCAGCAATCAGCTACTCGCCTTGAAGCCCCCAGCAAGCACATTAGCCCATGGATCTTGCTGTCATTCGCCCACCACACGGTGTGCGAGTTGGCCTCAAGGGCTCGCTGGGGGAGGATGGGACTCCCCAAATGCTCGCCGCCCCACACCCGGCCACCGGTGTGAAGGACCCGGAGATTCGAATCCGAGGCCCTCTTGGGTAGGGCTAGCATCCGCACATGCGCAAAAACCATCTCTTCACACTGCACAACCTGACAACCGACAGGAGACAATGTAAATCATCGCGTGTCTTGCGCTTGCACTGCCGCTTAAAGCTATCCCTGCAGTATGAAAAAACATTATGTACAGGGATGTCTTCAGTTGGTTGAAGATCATATTGTTTGCTTACCCGCTACAAATTTTGGGTAAATGGGGATTGCTTCAAACGAAGTGTCACAACATGTCCAGGAACCATCTCATCAAAGCACACGGCAGGAGCGATGTGACACTCAGACCCGCAACCGCGCTGTGCTGGGGAAAACACAACTTGCACACACTCAAGCCAACTCAAGGAAAAGCAAAAAAACAAAGAACGGTACGCTCAAGGATCGGCACACTTCGCACCGACACACCCACTCAGTCAGTGTTGGCCTCCCCATTTCAGGATGAGCACGCCGTGCAGCAATCAGCTACTCGCCTTGAAGCCCCCAGCAAGCACATTAGCCCATGGATCTTGCTGTCATTCGCCCACCACACGGTGTGCGAGTTGGCCTCAAGGGCTCGCTGGGGGAGGATGGGACTCCCCAAATGCTCGCCGCCCCACACCCGGCCACCGGTGTGAAGGACCCGGAGATTCGAATCCGAGGCCCTCTTGGGTAGGGCTAGTCTTTGGGCCCTTGCCCGCTTCCACATTTCCCCCCAAGCCTGTAACCAGTACCTCCTTGTTCAACATATTCGAACCAAAGCTTCCAGCATGGACCTTCGGGTTGACATGTTTCTGCGCACAAATTAGCAGCACCCTGGGCCACGAACAAAATCCGTGGAAAATAACATGGTTGGGGGAGACACCAGTTCAGGCCTCCATTTGTTTCCACCGATTCGGCATCTGACCAACCAAACCAAACCAACCAAACCAAACCAAACCAGACCAGACCAGACCAAACCAAACCAAACGAAACCAAACCAAACCAGACCAACCAATCAAACCAAACCAGACCAGACCAGACCAAACCAACCAAACCAACCAACCACACCAAACCAAACCAAACCAAAACCAAACCAAACCAAAACCAAACCAACCAACCCAAACCAAACCAGACCAAACCAAAACAAACCAAACCAAACCAAAACCAAACCAACCACTCCAAACCAAACCAGACCAGACCAAACCAAACCAAACCAAACGAAACCAAACCAAACCAAACGAAACCAACCCACCAAACGAAACCAAACCAGACCAGACCAAACCAACCAACCACACCAAACCAAACCAGACCAAACCAAAACCAAACCAAACCAAACGACACCAACCTAGCAAACCAAACCAAACCAAACCAAACCAAGCCAACCAACCAAACCAAACCAAACCAAATCACACCAAACCAAGCCAACCAACCAAACCAAACCAAACCAGAGCAAACCAAACCAAACCAACCCAACCCAACCCAACCCAGCCAGCCAGCCAGCCACCCCGCGACCCCCTCCAACCCCCCCCGGCCGTCCCTTCGTTGCATCCTGCCTCGGAATCCTCGAGGCGCGCCAGAAGCGCAGTGAGGCACCGCTCGCACTGCTCGCCGGACGCGAAGTGCTCCAGCGCACCGAGCACCTCCACACCTGAGTCACAGTCAACACACCTGGGCTGCCCGTCTTCTGATCCGCGAAAAGTTTAACTTAACTTTTAGTGGGTTGAATGGAAACTACAACTAAACACTAAAAAGCTAAAAGGCTAAGGAACCGGATGGCTGGGAGCCACCAAGACACGAGCCCCCCGTTTGTTGGGTGGGCTCCCTTTGAATCAACAAACACCAAAAAAGGAGCCCACTAGGAAAAAGCGACGAAGTACTTGCTGGGTGCGATAAGTAGGGAATGAGGGGGGTGGTTTATCGGGGTCATTCCCTCATTCCCTGTTGAGGAAACCACAAGGGAAGGTTTACATCGGGGTCATTCCATTTCTCATTCCCTGCCTATCGCACCAGCAAGTCAGAACCGATCGGTACTCAAATGGCCCACGCCCAGAGCCAAGCTTCAAGAATTCAGAAGGCGGCGAAGGAACTCATTTGGCCATGGGTCAGAAGCCAAATCGTACCCGGTGAACATCAACCACTCCAACCACTAGAATAGGTTCTAAAATGGGTGGTCCATTCCCCTACCCCAAAATGGGATCACGTTGGTCTCGACCACCACCGCCATTTCTGGCTGGGATTGTCCCTTACCTCCGCGCCGGTCGCCGGGGGAGGAGGAGACGGAAAACCCACGGCCAGGTCCCTCGGCGGGCTTTGGGCGCGCTTTTTTGGCCTTGTGAAAGCCGCGGCATCCACGGCACAAAGGTCCAAAGGACATAAGGCGCAAAGAACCCAAATCTGAACTCACGAATTGATCCAAAGAATTGTGCCTAAGGACCTCAAAGAACTGTGCAGACCCAAACAACAAAGCATCCACATTCAAAGATCCACGAATTTCCGTCCAGGCCTCCGGATCCGTTGGCCCAAGCATGAGGATGTTTTGCCGCTCCCAGCCAAAGGGGATTGCATACCATGGGTAGCAGTAAAGCCCAGGCTAGGCAGAAAGCGTCTGCAAGGCACAAACCAATGCACCAGGTAGATGATTGGCCGACGCTGCAGAAGCGGAGGATGAGGACGCGGTGGAAAGTCAGTCAACGGCACCTTCACTAGAAAGGTGTTCAGAAGCATAGCTAGCCCAAAGACCCAACTGCACCCAGGAGCCAAATGGTGGCACACGGGCCACGCAGAAACATCCAGGCTTCACACATGCGTGTGCGGAAGGGTCAAAGCAGAACAATGCGCAGCTGCACACTGAACACCGTGCAATAAACCCAGGACAAGCAATGCGCAATGTTTGCGTTTTGCGGCCGGGCCGACCCCGGCAACCCCAAAGCGCAACCGCATGGCCCTCACTTCGCTCGCATTGGAAGTGGGGGGCTGGTGCAGCTACCTCTGCACCCAGCTTGTGAGGAGCCCACGCGCGGGGCGACGCAATTCCCAGCAACCGGCAACTGCCCTCACCGATGGGGCGCCATGGCGACTGCGGAAACAAGCTCACGTCAACCTGGAAAAAGTCTGGCCGATCATTTTAGTTGCTTGGTTTGTGGGTTGGTTGGCCAACTTGGTAGGCCGGCCAATGCGGTTTTCGGTTGGCTCCATTGACATTTGCCTGAGCAGAAAACCCCAACAAAACATGCAGCATGGGCCGTCCAACTGTTACCCCTTTATTTATTCATCATTTGTTTTTTGTTTTTTGAGGAACCGCCCCCAAACCAAAAATATATTTGGAAAGGTGGAACCGACTGAACCACTGGGGGGATCGTCAGGTTAATCTAACCCAAGATCCAGAAATCAAATGTTCGTGGATTGGTCAGAAAAGATCTCTGGACTTTGTGTGAAACATGCGTCTGCTTCTTGCTGAGGGTGCCCCATTTGGGGTGTTGTTGAAAGGGAAATCAGCAGGAACGGCATCATGTTTGGGGTATCCTCAAAAAAAGACAGACCCTTTTCTTGCCGACAAGTCTAAAGTCTGGAAACTGGGCAAGAGAGCAACTGTGCAGCATTTCAATGCCAAAACTTCTGACGGATCATTTATCTCTCAGCATAGCCGCCAGAAGAACAGATGAGTCATACTCAAAACCCGGTACAAACATGGTGAACCCTGAACCATGTAAGGAATTGAAAACGCGGCCACAACTATTTCCGGCTGGGACTGCCCCATACTAACCTTCGTCTACCGGGGCTTTGATTGTGACTCAAACAATCAGCTCTACCTATCAATATGGCCAATGGGGGTTGAGGGTGTGCTCCCTACCTTCGCTGCATCTGTCTGCCAGGGTACCCTCAAAAAAGGCACACCGACCTCAGTACCCCATCTAAGTCGATTTCTTGAAGTCGCCATGTATTGAAACTTCTTTGGTGCAAATTTGGTGTGAAAAAAGAACGCGTCCGCAAACATCCCGTGGCTTTTTCCCCGCTTCCCCGAGAAAAAAAAAAAAGCAACCGCCAGCCCGGATCGGAAGCCGTCGCCCAAAAGAACCCTGTGCACCCGGCGGCCCTCAGCGCTTGGCCTGGGCCCGGAAATGCGACTGCCAGCATTTTTTGGGGGGGCAAGAGGAGACAACACCCAGGAGTCTAAGAAACCAACAGGAAGTTCTACAGGAAACCCCTGATTTTGGTGGGAATTTGGCCAGTTTCCTGTAGAATCTTCTGTAGCTGCTTTTCGTGAAGGAGTCTTCCGAAGCAACACATCTGAAGGTGATATTGTGGATGGTTGCGAAATCCATTTCGCACCACCCAAGAAAGCCTGGAAGGATGATTCCCCTCCAAATGCCAACGAACAATGCCCATGGATTCAAAGTGGTGCAGGATTTCGTCCATCCACAGTAGAAACCCTGGGGTCTGATTCCCCAACGTAAATACCGACCACGTTATGGATTTCCAGGGATTCTTCGGTGGTGGCACATGCGATGTACAAATAATAACAAGCCCGGACGCAGTGATCATTTGTGTCTGTGTTGCTTTCTTCTGCACAGCGCGGAAGATGCGTGGAAGTTTTCTGAACAGAGTCAGCATTGCTGCTTGCCAGGTGAGCCGCGGATTTCATTTGTGGTTCCAGATTTTCCTTTGAGAGAAATCTAAAATAGATTCAGCTTGGGGATCTTTTCCCCACCCCAACTGGGGGATGAAAATCCAACATGCGTTCTATGTGAATCATGTGTGCCAGAAGGACCCAGGATCAATGCTCCATATAGTGTCCTACTTTAGAGGGGATGCAGGCAAAATTGGGGGAAGCACCGACGCAGCCCTCAGGATCCGCCGGGTCCATAAATCCGGGTCCAACATGATTTGGGTGTTAAAATGGGGATCCCCCAAGCTGGGTGCGTCCATTCTGTTCAGTTCCCCTTAAACCAACCTCAAAACAAGCACCCTGCAACAGACCACACCCATTTGTTGCTAAATCAAGGAGAACACCCCTTCTTTTCAACTCAGCACGGCCCTTTTGCCACTTTTGTGAACCTAGGGGTCTTTGGTCCAAATTACCACCCCCAAAAAAACAAAACTTGACCACAAAAGTCCAGACCAATACCAATTTGCTTCTCCAAAGCAGAGAACATTGGCCACTGGAAAGACACAATACCAATTTGCTTGCAAACACCCCTTGCTACCATATTCTTACAGAACTTCTCTGGCTGCTCCTTGGCTCCCTTTTAAAAGCAAACTTGAATACCCACAGCTCCTTGCCCCCTTCCAACCATCAGCTGGCTTGTGGGTCACAAAAGGTGTGCCAAAACACATTATGCATGTTGGCAGTTCAAAATCTTTGACGTAAGCTTGCAAGCAGGAATACTAGCCCAAGTGTGGCCACTGCCAGTGATTCCATTTCCCTCTACAGCAGGCAATCGGCAACCAAGGGAATCGCCCGATTCGGAATCGCCCATACACTAGAAACATCCCGGGTCCTTGAACACTTGATACATATGCCTCCATTTGCTTAGGTCCCCTGGAAAAAATAAAACATATGTCCAGTAGTGAAACCGATTCCCTTTAAAACCAACAGGGGGGAAACAAAATATCAAAAACATATTCACCAAACGGAAGCTTACTGGGGTTCCCTTGAAACGATCCAAACATCCACCTGTGGAGCTCGGAGAATGGCTCGCTCCACTTCACGGGCCCAATGGAGTCCTTCTGCGTTTTCCCGAGAGCTGAAGCTTTCGATAGGTTTTAGTCGAAACGCCGCGGTCCAAAAGGTCGAGAAACCTGTCGCAAAGAGCCCTCGAAAAAACGTAGTGTGTGTTTTGGAGCAGCCCCATACTGACGGTTGTGAGGCTAGTTTGTTTGGGGGTGGCTTGAAGGAAAAACAACCGGGGCATCCACCATGTTTATGTTTTTGTTTCTTTTTTGGGGGGATCCACCAGAGGGGCGCCTTGCTCCCTGCCCCTTGGGCTCCCAACGAGCCGATCTTCGCCAAGAGTAGCGCCACCACTTCTGGGCCTCTTGGAACCACCTGGCGGCAACTGATGCCAGGGCGGAACCGCGTGGCGTCATCTTGGGGTTGAATTTGTGCGTTTTGGTTCCGGTTTTTTCGAGGGTACATTGACGTTTGCCTTTTCAAGGGTACAAATGGGTTCAAGGTGGCTTGACAGGGGAACCAACTAGAAAAGATAGTTGCGTCTGTTTGTTGAGAGTACGGTCGTTCAGTGTGCTAAGAACCTGGGCTGGCAGGTTCTTTGGGGTCATACGCCTCTGACCGGAGAAAAAAAACAAAAAAACATGGCCATACAGATTTGTTTGCGGTTCTTTTCAGCAACATGTTGACAGAATACGGGCTTCATACGGCTGATTTACGCAAATGACCGAACATCATGACCATACGGGCAAATACGTGCAACTACGGGAGTTTGACCCGGAAAAAAAAGGGGGCGGGGGGGGGGGGGGGGAAAACATACCGGCGATTTGGGTGCGACTTGCTTTCTTCCCTGCAAATTGGCTACTAACCCTGCAGCCATACCGGCACCCATCCACTCATCATGAAAAGCAGCAACATGAAGCCCACTCGGGAACCTTGACTGCAATGCTTTTCGCCTCGGGTGCTGTGGCACAAACTGCTCCCAGGTGCAAGAACATCCCCAAAGGACCCTTGGCAGGAACGACGACCTCCCAACTAAAAGGTGCACTGCAGACCGGCTACGGATATTAGAGGCAAAGACAAGCTTATGCGGAACAACCACCTACCCAAATTCGAGGCCTTCCGTTTACGAGCTTGGCGAGTTGCGCATGTGCTGGTCAACATGCTAAAGACAAAAGTGGTTGCGCTCACACTGAAAGCGCCATGGGTCAAAGCCCCGTACCCCCGACTGGAGCCCTGGCTTCTTGACAAAACCCAACATGCCAGCTTGCCAAGCGCTGGAGCTGGTTCGCCTCTCCGGCTCTCAGCTTATACTTGGCCGTCGGGTAGTGCTGGCGCATTTGCTCCAGGGAGCTCAGCTGAATCTTCCGAATCGGGCTCCGTGGCCTTTCAGCCCGCTCCACCACTGTCATGTTGGGACGAGGTCGATTGCCCGGAAGGGCAACAAAGCGGCTCCGTTTCTGAGCATCTTGGATTCCTTCAAGATCTACCCAAATACTTTTCCAGCCAGAGTCTCGGAACAATCTGAGGTTTCTTAACTCCGTAGACTTCCGAAGTGTACGAGCCTCTCGACAGCAAAAAGGGATTTCCTTCTCACACAACGTGATCGCACCCTTTTGAGGTTGGCTTAAACAGGGACTTCTTCTCACACAATAACATAACCCTACCCTTTTGTGGTTGTTTTACAGGGAACAAGATATTCCAACACAAACACCCTGGTTTTGTGGCCTGGCGCGGGTTTCCCATCCCATCCGCGGTTTCCGAAAAAAGATGGGCCGACCGGTGCCACTGGAGCGAAGGCTCTTCCAATAAAAAAAAGGCAGCTTGTGCCACTTGGTCCACCAGCCGAAGCACCTGAACAACAAGAACAAGGCCAAGAAGCATTGGCCAAAGTCAAAGTTGGCAGTCAAAGTTGCATGGTTGGATGGCGGCCGGTTTCTGTGCGCCCGAAAAGCCTCAAAGGATGCGCCAAAGCGAGGTGGCCGAAACCGAAGTCTTCGGAATTTGGCCAACCCGGCTTGAAGAGTCTTGAGGGGTCTGTCCGTGCCCATTGCCTCATTTTCGCGACGGTTCCGATGTCCCACCGGAAGAAGCAAAGAAGCAACTGGAGGAGCTGTTTGAGGGTACCCGTTTCAGGCTGGTGTCAAAAAAACAACGAAAGCCACCACATGCTGGTTGTTTTTTTGTGTTGTTGTTGCTTGTGTTGTCTCTCCTTCTCTCTCTCCGTTTTTCTTTGGGAAGGGGGGGGCAATCACGGTTTTTGATACACATGCCAAAGAGAGGCTCACCCGCACGTGCCACGAAAATGCCAAAAGTGACTCAAGTCCAGCCAGGAACTAAAGGGAGTGAATGGCAAAGGAGTGAGCCAAAAGGGAAAACGAAAAGCCTTCAAAGCCTTAAGTTGCGATCGCTGCTTAAACCAAACACTCCACCCTACCAATCACAGTTGCAACAATCGGGGCGATGCTGAGCCGGCAAATCTTCGGGGTCAGCGGCAAAACGCGGGAACACCTGGTCATGTTCAGGTTCCCCACATGCAATCCCAAAGCCACTCCTAAAACTAGCTAAAACTGGGGGCCGAAACAGCCCTGGATTCAACATGTTCGAACCACAATTGCGGGGGTTGGCAAAACTGTGGACCTTTTCTTTTGGAGCCTGGTGCCACCTCGTGCCGCCGTTTCCAGGGATACCAAACACAGTCCCTCGTTTCGACAAGCCCTGTGCTGCTTAACAACCGAGCTCCCTTTCGGCAGGAACTGGACCTCCAAGATTTGCGGCAACCTTCCATTTGCTTTTCTGCCCTGGAAAAAACAAACATATTTTTCCAGTAGTGATATAGATTCCCTGCAAAACCAAGAAGCAGAAAAACCGCCTCGGCCCCGAGGGGGCCGAGGGCGCTCAGATCTCGTTCTGAAAGGGAATCTTCGCTCTTCCCCCCGCCCCTCACCCATGTCTGCTGGCCCTAAGATCCTGTCCGGCGGGCCTTGAAATTTTCGGGGTTCGCCGGCGTCCAGCTATGGGGCCTTTTTTGGTCGAAAATTAAAAAAACTGCTGGCCAGGCCTGTCTGACTAGCCTCACAGCCCAGCCCAACCAGCAACCCACACAAGCAAAGCCCAGCCCAGCTCGCCAACCAAGCAAGGAGCACGTCAGACAAACCAGCCTTGCTCGGGCCCAGCCCATGTCTGCCAGCCCAACCAGCAACCACCCAAGCAAGGCACATCCCAGCCCGCCCAGCCCAGGCCCTCCACCAACCAACCCAAGCAAGACTCAGCCCAGCTCGCCCTGTCCTGTGCATCGCCTTGCCCTTGCCTCGGGGGATTCCTGCGGGCCCGTGACATCAATTGGTCCAACGACGCCAGAACCTGTCCATGCCTGAATCGATAATCGCCACTTGACCAGCTCTGCTGCTTGCAGTCGAACCACAGACGCCGCGCGCTCGGCTTGGCCGAGGCGGGCCGGGCAACGCGCAGCGTTTACAAAAAAAAATCAGTTCAGAAAATGGAAGCAACCCTGGCTGAAAGAGCCCTAAGCGTCTGGAGCCTAACATCCGGACACAGAAAGCCTACCCGCGAAGCCGCAGAAGCCGCAGAAGCCGGGCCTCCCGCAGGGTGCGCGCCGCGCTTCGGCGCACCGGGGGATGCTCAGAGCTGAGTCGCTTGATCAGCTCGGCGACCACCTGCGAGCTGGTCGCCCGAAGATGGACTCGGAACCACCCGGCGGTTTGAGAGGAAGCTCTGGAGTACCATGCTCATCAGCGGTTGGTTGGGGGAAATATTGAAAAAGCGCTTGTTTTTGAGGCCCGTGTGGCTTCCGTTGGCTTCAGCTTGCTCCTGATTCACCAGCGCTATTTACCTTTTCCAAAGGGCACCAGTTACCCAAAGAAGGTCCGTTTGAGAACTGGACAAGACATGAACCGAGAGAACCGAAAGTTGAAAAGGTCTGGCTGAGTTCACCTTCCCATCTTAATATGAGTCAACATGTTCCACCAGGGGATAGCAGGTTTTAGTCTTTGGTTCGATTTACTAGGGCAACCCATTTTGGGTACCTTATTCTTGTCACCACAGCCATGATATGTCTACTTCAAGGACAGGGTGGAACTTCAAGGACAGGGTGGAATGCAAAGAATTCGGCTTTGGGCAAGACTCGTGGGCAGAGACGACAAAAGTCTGGCCAGCGACCCGTTTCTTGAAGGCACTTCTGCCTCGCTTCCATGAGTGGAGGGTACTGTGTCCAGGGCTCCATTTTGAGACTACACGGTAGACTTAAGCCCAGGGGTGTCCCTTTAAGTCAGTCCAAAGTTGGAACCCTGACTGTATCACTTTGAGGGGAGCTCGCAAAGGGTATGACTTTGGTGAATTTTGCCGAAGAAATGTCCACTTTTGGCCCAGGGTCTGATAGTTCCAACATTCGCCCAATTGCTTCATCGTTTGAAGCATGCCCCGCTGCTTTCAGCTGTTTCAAGCTACTTTTCACATCAGCTAATCCGTGAAGACTGTTTAAACATCCGCACGTTGGCTCCCGAGTACATGACGTGCATGGGCCTCATTTGCTCAACTTGGTCGAGCCAACTTCGAGTTGGCGCAGACTTCTCTGGCCCAACCCGGCCGCTCCCTGGTTTGCCAGTCTGTTGAAACGTATTCAAACATCTGCTCTCGGATTCTCTCTAGGGCCTAGGGTCTGTTTTTTGTAGTCTCTGGGCCCGCTACGGTTCTTCAACAAAACTAGAAACAAGGAGCCTCCCCCTGCCAAGGACCACCTGATTCATGGGTTTGCTTGTCTTAATGAGGTGAAACATGATAGCTCCAAACAGTAGGTCTGTTGGTTTCCATCTACGGCGGCAACAAACAGAGGGTACCCTCAAAAAGACACACACCCACATGTTCCATCCCCCGACTCCCCTTTTGTTGTAGCTGACTTGAATGGGGAACTGCCTTCTAAGAATAAAGCAAACAGGTGGAACCCACTGGAGGTCTCGGAGCCATGGCAAAACTCCGTGTCTTTGGGCTGTCGAGGGTCATGGTTCCCTGAACAGGAATCAGAGCGCCACGCAAAAATTGGGATCTTTTGACCGTGGCACATATGGACCCTTGAAAAATCGTCCTCACCTGTGGGAGATGAATCTTAAGCTTGCTGAAAAGGTGATGATTACATCCCCAAACTGGCTCGTGGCAAATAGGGGGGATCCCACATCCGAATCAGCAACCCGAACTGGCACACCAAGGCAACCACAACCAGGCGGCAGGATTGAGGGATTCAGGATTGATGTTGGGCAACCCCGCCAAATTGGCGGGTCTCAACAATTACACAGATGAATTTCAGATTCTGCTCTTGTGATCACTTCGTTCGGTGTTCACCCCATTCAATTTGATTGAACAGCCCCTAAGGACCCCCCGCCCGCCTCTCACCCCCCCTCCCCCCTTCCCCCCGCCAGCTCGTCCGACGCCGCGCTGGCCGCTCTCAGCTTCCAGGCCACGGAGTTCCGCTCGCCCTAGCTGCCAGAAAATGGACGCGGCCCGCGGCTCCATTTGTGGCGGTGGGTCAAAACCCAGCACACCCGGGTTAACATCAAAATAGGTGGCAAATGGATGTTCATCCACCACAAAATGGAGCCATAGGCTATGCCTCATGGAAACTTGTGGGTGTGGAGGTGTTTTCTGAGGCTTTCGTGGATTTTGAAGGAAGGAAGACACGACCATTTCGGAGGGATGGGTGATGGACTGAATCCAAGAGGTGGGCACCAGGTCGAAGTCCCAATCAGGGGTTCGTCCGTCTTTGGGGGGTGCAGGATTTTGCATGGAGTACTTAACCACAAATTTGGAGAATCCTGGCGCCCATGTTCAAGCTTCAAAGCTTTCAAACCGCTCTGACAGGCACCAAGACTCAAGAATTCGACTGAGCAAGTACCAATAAAATTCTTGGGACCACGGTGTCGCGCAGACTTCAAATGGTTATCAAGCCAACAAGCAGAATACCAGCACCCGGGTCCCAGCCACTGTTTCCCTGGGCAGTACTTGGGAGTTTGGATATGGGACAAGGCAGTTGTTGGGGGCTGGTAGCGACTCCCCGGTGGTTTTCTTACGCGGAACATGCCTTGCGTATCGATCCACTTTTGGGTTCCTGGGAATTCAAAAGAAGAGAGCGAATGTTGACATTGAATTGGACGAACCTTCTGGGTTTGACCTGGTGAAGAGTGGGATTGAAAGGTTTAAAAACAAACAAAAAAGTTCACAGTATTCCGAATTTCGCTCCAACCAGGTTTCCCCCCAAGCTCGCTCGGGCGCCGAAAGCGGAAAGCGCCTTTTTCTCTACCGAAAGCCTCCTCCGCCTTTGCCCGCGCGCCGCGCGTAGCAGATGCGATACGTGAAGCCTGCGGCTCGCAGTTCGCAGTTCGCGAAGTCTACGGAGATCCGTTCGAGGTCGAGGCAAGCCATGGTTGGCTTACCCATGTGGGTCCCGGTCCCAAGCGAATCCGAGCAACAAAACGACAAGGGGCATTGTGCGAAACAAAATCTCTACCGTTGCGACGTGATTCCCATACTTTTGTCATTTAGGGGATGCCCTTACCGCAAAAGTGGCAACCTAAAGCCCAACTTCCAACCATGCATCAAGTTACTGAGGGCACCTCCACTAAGTGACTATATCGAGGGAAGCGACATGAAGCGAACCTTGGCGTTGACGCATTTTCTTAGAGACGTTTGGCCATTCCTCGGTTACATAGGAAACAGACTCAAAAAATGGTTGGTGCACATGAATCCGCACCTGAATGATGTCCACGCAAGGCTCCCCCGGCCCGTCTTGGATTTGGATCTGCGACTGGGGCATGCTTTTTGTTGGTGGTTGTTGGCCTCGCAAGTCGGCACTGCAGCCGAAACGGGCTGCCATCTGCACTCGGAGCCTACTCCGAAGACCCAGCAGTGACACCGAGATGGGAACAGCGTTTCTCTCCACTCGCGGGTGGCCCGCTTGATTTCCACGGGTTTGGAGTATAGCTATCTCTCAACTATGTGTATTGTGGCAACATCGGGGTTCCTTAGTACCTTAATTACTTGCTATCAACTTATCCTTTGCTCTCTCTATCTCTCTCTGTCTGTTCTATCAGAAGGGGTGCTCACAGGGGTGTCGTTTTACAGCTTGTGTTTCTGATTTTTGCTCTTGTTTTTAAGCCGGGGGGGGGGGGGGGGGTTGCGCGTCCTGGTGGGGGCATACACCAAAACCCCACTTTGATCCCTGCTTGCCCCCTCAAGCCATGTGCCTGACTCCTGCCAGGGCGACGTCACATAGCCTCGGCTGGGGCTTCTCACAGATTGCCGCCGCTGAAACCAGTGGCAGTCGTCTGTTAGGGGAGACCTAGATAGCCAAGTTTGTTTTTTTTCAGTCACTGATCCAGGGAATGCAATATATTCTGACGGAAAGACTTTTGGACCTCTTTTGAGTTGGTTTTAAGGGAAACCAAAAGGACACCACTTGGATCGCCATGTTTTTTTGCCAGCAACTGTAACTGTTTAGGCGATCGCAACTTGGTCAACCCGCCGGGCAACCACTTTATGGGTCCCGGAAAGAAAAAAACACACACACACACACCCATTTATTTATCTAGCCTGAACTCCGAACTGGACTCCGAATCAATTCGGAGACTTCCTCAGGTGAGTTGCCCAGGTTCTGAACCGAGCTGATCTTGCTTTGAGGGTATATACTCTTTTTTGGGCTGTTTAACAGGAAACCAAAGGAAACATTACACCAGCATAGGCCCCAGATAGCACACCACGGCCACGAACATGACGCAGCATCATCATGGCTCCCGCGGCATCATGATGATGTTGACAGCATCATGGTGATGTTGACAGCATCATGATGATGTTGACAGCATCATGATGATACCACAGCAACTTAGCACGGTGCGCTAAATTGACGCGCAGACAACGTCCTACTGAGCGCAGCAGCAGAATGATGATGCTGACAGCATCATGCTGATACACCAGCCACGAACGATTCCGCGTTACATATTCGGCAGAAAAAAGCAAAGACGACGTCCTGACGAGTTCGACAGCAGATGCGGACAGCATCATGATGATGCCGGCAGCATCATGGTGATGCGAACAGCATCATTGTGATGGTAGAGGCAGGCGAATGATGATACCACAGCCACAAATCATCTTGCAACAGCGTAATGAAATTCAGCATCATCGCACCCACGATGATTCCAGCAGCATCATGACGCGGTCGACAACATCATGATGATACACCAGCCACAAGCCACTACGCGCCACAGTTAGGGCAGCAACAACGTCCGAATCGATTGAGTTGACAGCATCATGATGCTGCGGACAGCATCATGATAATGCCACAACCGCGACACCCCAAACAGCACCCGCCCTCAAAACAGCAGCCCCAACGCCAGCACCTCACAACCGAACAGCACCCCAAAACCGCGCCTACTGTTAGAACCCCACAGCAACCCAAAACAGCACCTGACCTAGCACCCGCCGGCAATCTCGGAAAATTGCGTCAGCACCACCCCCACAAACAGAACCTGCATCAGCGCCCCAAACTTGCACCATCAATCTGGCAACAATGCGCCTACCCCTTCACCAGCACCTCAAACAACACCCCGGAGCAGCACCTGCGCCAGCAAGCACCACCATGCCCCCCTACTACACCAGCACCCCAAACTGCATGCCTCCTGAGACCTGGCCGTCCAGGCACCTCCACCAGCACCCGGCCGTCAAGCTCGCAAAACAGCATCCACCAGCACCCCAAACTGCATGCCCCCTAGCACCCAGGCCGCCAATCTCGCAAAGCCGCACCTCCACCAGCGCCCCAAACCACATGCCCCCTAGCACCCGGCCCCAAACTACCCCCAGCACCCGGCCGTCACCAGCACGCCAAACTGCATGCCCCCTAGCACCCGGCCGCCAATTTCGCAAAGCGGCACCTCCACCAGCAGCCCAAGCTGGATGCCCCCTAGCACCCGGCCGTCAAGCTCGCAAAACAGCGTCCACCAGCACCCCAAACTGCATGCGCCTAGCACCCGGCCGCCAATCTCGCAAAGCGGCACCTCCACCAGCAGCCCAAGCTGGATGCCCCTTAGCACCGTCAAGCTCGCAAAACAGCACCCACCAGCACCCCAAACTGCATGCCAGCACCTGGCCGTCAATCTCGCAAAGCGGCACCTCCACCAGCAGCCCAAGCTGGATGCCCCCTAGCACCCGGCCGTCAAGCTCGCAAAACAGCATCCACCAGCACCCGAAACTGCATGCCCCCTAGCACCCGGCCGCCAATCTCGCAAAGCGGCACCTCCACCAGCGCCCCAAACTACATGCCCCCTAGCAACCGGCCCCAAACTACATGCCGTCCAGCACCCGGCCGTCACCAGCACCCCAAACTGCATGCCCCTAGCACCCGGCCGCCAATCTCGCAAAGCGGCACCTCCACCAGCAGCCCAAGCTGGATGCCCCCTAGCACCGAAACAGCATCCACTAGCACCCCAAACTGCATGCCAGCACCCGGCCGTCAATCTCGCAAAGCGGCACCTCCACCAGCAGCCCAAGCTGGATGCCCCCAAGCACCAGGCCGTCAAGCTCGCAAAACAGCATCCACCAGCACCCCAAACTGCATGCCCCCGAGCACCCGGACCTCAAGCTCGCAAATCACTTTCCTTTCTTTATTAGAAGTTAGAACCCCTATAGCTTTCAGCTATCTGGGGAAACACACGCTTTCTTTTCTTTGAGGGGGTTGCTGTACTTCTGGACACACCCACATTGCAACCTCAGGCTACTTGAGGTCCAAAACGGGAAATTGAGGTTTTACCCTGCCAACGTCCAGCTTTGCGCAAAGTGGGACCTTTACCAAAAAAGGAAAACTAAACACCAAACCAACACCAAACAACACCAAACAACACCAAACCAACCTGCCGAAACCAACACCAAACCCGGCAAACCAGAAGCTCCAAAGGTCGATTCGCTGGTCGCAGTCGAATCCCCTCGCATCGAATTCTTTTGGAGTCGGGCCGTCGAATCGGATCGACGTCGAGGGGCTCAGGGGCAGCTCCTCGTCCTTCAGCTTCTCGAAACCCAGGCGCTTCATGTCCGGCACCTCGCCCGGGTGCTCGCCTCGAAGCGGCGTAAAGGACTTGACAAACAGCGACCAAAGCGGGGGGAACGCGGCAAGACCCGAACAGATCCGATCCCTGCACATTACACACCTGAACCTTGCCTTGTAAATGGTTTCCCTTTCTTGGGCGTCGAAAAAGCCATGCTTCAAATGGTTGCAAAATGGAGATCTTTTCAGGAGCCCTGCAGAAGCGACCGGGGAAGGGGGAACGCCCCGGTTCCATGGGGCTTTTGGCAAGGAAGGGATCGAAGTGTCAAGTCAAGCACCAAACCGGCGACAGCTGCTCGAATCGTCGAGGTGGGAACTGGGATCTGTGGGGCTTAAGACCCTCCTACCCTGCTCCTTGATTTGCGCTCGACTCCAGGCCAGGCGGCTCCCCGAAACTGTACATGATGCAATGGGAGGTGATGTCACCAAAAGGGATGCAATATATGGAACCCTGAATGAGCAAAAGCACGCGTGACATGTCAACCAACCCATGTTGCCAACCACTTGGGCAAGCCACGATTCCTCACAAACCTGAGTTTTTAGTGTTGGACATGTTGGACCCAAGAATGGAATCTCCATAAGAGATGTTGTCGCAGCCTAAACCCTTCCCTCGTGCTGTCGCAAAAATGAGCTGCTTCTTTGCTTGACTGAACCTCCGCTTAAACCAGTGTTACCCAGGCTTCCTAGAGGCTAGTTCTGATTAACTTTCATGATTCCGCCAGCCCGGAAATATCAACCCAAACCCTGAAAGGCTCTCAAGCGTTACGCAGAGGGGACAAACATGCGATTAACCGAATATTGCTCGACGGTGATATTGCCGACATTCTTGACAGACCCGTGACACAAAAGAAGAGTCACACAAGTTGCTCGCCAACTCCCCTTTGCATGCGATTAAGGCAAACCCACCCCGGTCTCAGGGCGGCTGGGTTCGGTAAAACACACTCACACGGACTCAAGATGGTGAAGGCCGCCGGATGCCGCCGCTTGGGCTTGGGTCAATATGGGTTCGATTAGGGGGGGGTTCTACCTGAAGCATCATTGGACCCCTCCATTGGAGGGGTCGGGACCTCAATTGGAAGGTTTTGGACTCTGGACCTCAACAATTGCCTTCTTGAGGTCCCAAGATGCATAGGGTAATACACGGAGGTTTATCAAATATAGTAGTCCCCCAATCGCTTCACCCTGATTAATGCGGACCCCCGGCTCATGCATGTATATTTAAAAACAGTTTGCTTCCTATAGGTTTTCCTTTACGCACCAAACAAAAGAACATCATAACCCATTTAGAGACCCCCCCCATAAACCCCAACTGGCCCATCTGAAAAGCTCCGCGCTGGATCGAGCCAAGACACCCTTGCCGCCTGCACAACGAACACGGCAAACCAGCAATTGGACGAGCAGGGTAAAAGCGGGTCGGGAAGCAACCCCTATCAGCTTTCTGGTAGCTTCATTGGGATGAACTAGAAGGTCAGCGCTATTCATTGTGAGATGCTTTGCTTCAAGCGCAGCCCAGCTGACCTGCTGAACCAATCTCACATCATTTGCGGCCGCTTGCCTTCAGGAGTGTGTTTTTCGGATCGGACTGGAGTGGAGTGAGGGCTGGATTCCCACAGTGATAATCCAGAAACCACCTTTCAAACATGTGAGTGACTGGGAGGGCCTTCCATCTTGGGACTCAACCATGTACCCCTGGAATAGGTGATGTGGTATACACAAACGAAGCCACGTGCAGCGTTTTTGGTCCCGTGATCCGGGATGCCTGTCCCATATATGGGTACGCCCCAATATGGCGCCTTCCTTTTGGTTGTAACCCCAGCTGGAAAAGGGTGCCCTGGACAAATGCACACACAAGCACCCACATGAGGGTTGTTGCCTCATGAGTACTCCGGGCTTTATCTGGGCATCGGGGATGAGTAAGCGAACGTGGAGGAATTGAATTCCCGTCTGCTTCCACCCTGCAGTTTGGGTGACTTCCAGGTAAACGCTTCTCTTTGACCGTGGTAAGTTCATTTGAGGAAAACCCGACATCGACCGATCGAACACAACCGAAAGGATTCGATGCCCGCGGGTTATATACAGCACTTCCAAAACTTGAAAATCCTCAATAATCCTCAATATATACAGCTGGATCCTCAACTAAAGGACTTGACGTGTGGAGTCCCCCGGTATTTTAGTTTGCACCGGGAATCCGCACCGCTCGAAACCCCGAAAATGGGCCCGGATTGCTGATTGCTTCCTTCACTAGGAATCCTCACTGTGGCGGTCCAGAATCATAAGGCCTCTTATTAAGCGGTCCATGGCACTCCCTAGCAACAGCAAGCAGGGTGATTCGGGCCCAAAAAGGCTGATCCGAGGGGAAACAAACAGAATGTACTGTTACTTCAGCCAAAATGATGAGGGAGCGTACGAACAAAGTGTTACACGTCTGCTATGGTGGACGCGACCAGAGAAGCGCTTCCCTTTTTGTGTATTATGAGTCTCTCGTTTCTTCGAGGGTACCCTTCTTAGGATGGCTTACCAAAAGGACCACTGAAGCGCGATTTTCTGCGGGCCCGTCCTCAAAAAAAAAGAAACCGACGAAGTCGGCCGCCATCCATCTGGTGGATGGCCTCCGGCATCCGGTGCCTGGTGCTTTGTATTTCGTCCGAGGGGCGCCACCAGGTGTTCCAAATCAGCACTCCCCCTGGCTTCAGCAGCTTCTGCAGCCTGACATCCGCACCGGATCCGATGGAACACCGGCCGAAAATGTGAGAGGGTCGCTGGGGGTCACTGGATGTTCTGTCAAAATGATGGTCCTTAAACTAGAAACATCCGTCACTGGTCCGAGGTCACTGGATTTTCCAAGAAAACGTACACAAAACATCGGAGGTCACTGGATGTTATCTCCAAAAGTTGATCAATTTGCTGGGGTGCCGGTGAAACGATCGCCCCTTTTGGAGGTCCAAACAAGGAAAAAATGAGGGACTGAAAATGGTCTCCCTTCCGTGAATTGTCCAAAAAGGCCCTTGTTCTCCCTTTCTGTTTGCCATCCCACAAGTCTAAAGTCCATGTCAGGGAGTGAGTGGTTGACAAAGTGTTCAAGGAATTACAGCAACCACAAAGCCATTTTGTTTGTTTGTTTGTAGCTGGCGTTTGACTGCGCCAAGGATGAATCACCCATAAGGGAATTTCCACGTACGCCTCCCCCCACCCCCCGGGCACCCCTCACACAGGTACCGACTTAGACCCTCTCGCAAGCCTTGTTTTGCGTGAGCCTTGGCCTGGGTTGATTTTGAGTCACCCAGGAAGGGAGAACAGGGGACGCCTTTGTTGGGTCAAGATCGAAACCACACCACCAACCTGCGGTGAGGTGATCTTTTCGGAAGACACCTTTCTTTGATTTTGAATCGGAACGAAAAAACAAAAGCTTGGACCAACCAAGCCCAATTCTTGCTTTGAAGGGGGCCACTACACTTCCTTGACCCCGCCTCTGAAACCAAGGGCCAACCTGAGGTGGCTTGAACCACGTGGCCAGGGGATGATTGCTCCAACACCCCGGTTTTGCACGCCGTCTTCAAGGCTCATTCTTTGGAGGTGTCTGCCAAAAGGGCGCGAATTTCAAGGGGACCCTTAAACAAAATGAAACAGGGACATGCCCACACTAGGGTGTGTGTCGGCATAGGGGAAGCCTGCCAAAATCCGGTGATTTGTCCTTGGTTCCCTTTTTAAACTATGGTGAAAAAGGGTCTCCTACAAAACCCAAACCTGCCCACAAACACACCGCCAGGGTTGGGCCGACCACCTGTTAGAACATGTTTAAACAAGAAATTACCAGTGCCTCCAGTCGATTCTGGTGGGGTAACCAGTGCAAACCATCATACAGCTTTACATGATGGTTTTCTAGCTGGGTACGTACGTACTATGGTAAGTGGAAGACCTGGGATTGTCTAAACAACCTCCTCTTGGTTTCCAGGCTACATTATGGTTTTCCAGCTGGTTGCCCACTAAAAAAAAGTCCCCTGAGGCGCTGAGAATAGTTGTCTTTAGATAACCTCCTCTTCGCTTCCCTACGCAACACCATGGGATCGAAACTGCCACTTTTGGAGGTTCCCATCAAAGGAAATGGCTCGGAAACCCTGTCTGAACAACCTCTTCTTGGTTTCCGGGTTAACTCGGTTGCTTTCTGCTCCCCTGCAAAAAGTGTTTAACCTCTGGTGGTTTCATGGAAAGCCCATTAGTTGGCAAAAAGTTAAAGTCCTAGAGTCCTAACATCCAAGCAAAATGCACCAAAGCTCAGGAGGGCAGAGTCCAAACCACTTCCCTTGCGCCTCTGGAAGCCTGTGGCATCAAGCACCACGTGCAGCACCGCGATGAGGCTGAAGTGCCCCTCAAAAATGGCGCGGATGGGCTGGGAAAAATCCAAACCCTGTTTTTGGTCCTTTGGGCTTCCACTGTTCTTTTTCCTTTGGGTGTCCATTGGCTCTTTGTCCTTTGGGCTTCCACTGTTCTTTTTCCTTTGGGTGTCCATTGGCTCTTTGTCCTTTGGGCTTCCACGGTTCTTTTTGCTTTGGGTGTCCATTGTTCTGTCCCTTAAATTTCCATTGAGTATTTTTGCTGTTGGGTTTCGATTGTCTTTTCCTTTGAGCTTCCACTGTTTATCCGTTTGGGCGTCCGTTGCTGTTTGCCTGTGGTTTCCAGTGTTTGTTCCATTGGCTTCCTTTTGAAACCACTTTGTTCAACCACCAGACCAGTTTCGGTCCTTTCAGGCAAATGGGAACAGAGGTCGTTTAAACAACATGATTTTAAAACAAAAAGAAAAGGTTGAACAAAAGTGGTTGAACAAAAGTGGTTGAACAAAAGTGGTTGAACAAAAATGCTTGTTGAAAATGCCATGCTTGAACCAAAATGCCAAAAACAAGAGTTTTCGCCCCGCCTCCGGCGCGGTCTTTGACCCGTCCAGCAGATCCATGGCCACGTCCTCGGTGCGGGGCATCTGCTTGGGCCCTCAACTGAGGGGTGGCTGACTTGGCCATGGGGCATAACCTATGGCTCCATTTGGGGTGGAGGAACATCCATTTGCCACCTATTTTGATGTTTACCAGGGGTGCAGGCTTTTGACCCACAGCCATTTGGATGTGTCCCAAATGGCGTCCTTGGGTCCTGCTGGTTTCACGTCAAAAACCACAAAGAGGGGGATTCTTCTTAAATAGACACACCCACTTCAAGCGCAAAGGACCAAATCAACCATTTTGGGAACCCGGATTAGCAAACCCGCTGCTTGGGGAGTCCCCTTTTAGTGGGGGTTCATCATTATGGGAGGGAAACACATGTTTAGAATGCGTATGTTAAGCAGACGAAGTAGCAAACACATGAATGTTGAATTGTGAAAAAAAAGGCAGCAGTCTTTTTGGGAAGATGGGAACATGTGAAATAATTCCCCAAAAGGGAGCCGCCCAATTGGGAACAGTTAGAACAAATACAACAATGAAGGAATAATGAACCCACGATTTCCTTAACCGCACATTTCCCTTTTGGAACAACTAGGCGTTCCCGTTCACGAGAATTCGGCCGACCATCCGCCCATCTCCGGCCTTTTCATGGAAGAGGCCCACATCGTTGTAGAGCGGCCGCTTGCACTTGCCTTTGAAGCGCTTGCGGATGGCCAACGTCACGTCCTCCGCGCTCGTTTCTGCGGAAAAACAAAAGCCGCGGGCCCTAGTTTGATACCTACCCATATGGCCATGGTGAAAATCCAAATCGCACCCCCATTGAACATCCCAATCCCCACTAAAATAGACCCAAGTATGGGTGGTGCACCTACCCCAAAATGGTACCATTGGTTTTGACCCATAGCCATATACCCTCCCACCAACTAACATGGAACCGAGTGAGTTCCATGAAAACGTGGATGGGACGATATTGGAGCTGGGCTGGGGCAGAAGCAACAAACACTGAGGGATGCTACGCTTCCAACAGAAATGGCGCTGACAGGGGCCAAAGCAGAAACAAAGGGGTCTGTCTCAATACAAGAGCGCATTTCTTTAAAGGATGCCCAAAGTGAAGCCAACCATCTGGATGGGGATCCAGATTTTGGAGACACCTCCAAGTACAACATCTGCACAGTTTGCGCTGGGCAGAGTCGCAAACAACCGCATCCAGCAATGCCCAAGGGCCAAATCATTCGCGAGAGCGTGCTACCACCAGGCGTGCAGTTAACCAATTCAGGGAACCAGCCGCATGGACGAGGCCGTTTGCCCCACTCCCCGCCGGTGAGTGAGCGACTTGTGCAAACAACGTGTCGGACGCCCTCACCAATTGATCTGAAGGACATGGGCAAATTGGGGTTTGTCACCTGATGTTATACTTAACATATTTAGCTCGCCCCGCACTGGACTTGTTGACAGAACGTCCAACTTGGAGAAGACTAAGCCTGTGTGCAAATCCCACCCCAAACAAATTGATAGATTACTCTGCCTTGAGGGTAGCCCTTTTGGTTGACTTGAAATGAGAACTGACAGGCAAACTAAGCATTTTGTTAGGTCCCCTACTTGACACACACACACACAGTGGATTTCCGAAGGAAAAAGGGTAGTTGACGTTCAAGGGGGGTTCCCCCTTCAGGAAAACCAACAAAAAAATCATTTTCTGGACCTGGAATTCTTGAAAAAAATCCAACCATGCCCGCGAATTCCCGAATTCCTCCCAGAGTTGGAAGGGGTTCTGCACGTGGTGGTTGCTGTGACCCACGAAGAGGGAGTCAAACGTCTTCCTCGGCTCCGCGAGCCCGCGGTTACACACAAAGGTACCAGTTGCTTGGTTGACGTTGGAAGGGGAGCAAAAAAAACAACAACAGTTAAGTGGGGATTTCCCACTAAACCACAGTAAGCAAAAATGTAAAATGTTTCCCAACTACAACCATGTATAGCCCACCCATGGTCTCAGTTGCCCCAACAAACCTGGGGATAAAAGGCAAACTTTTTTTGGGACCTTTACAAAAGATGAACCAAACCAGAGAAACCGAAAGGTCAAAAGGCCGTCTTTGGAGTGGCTCTTGGTGGGCGACTTGGGTTCCATGCGAGGTTTTTGTGCGGGAGCCGAAGGTCCACGTTACGACCCTTTTCCACTCAAGGGACCTTCCAGCACGCTCTGAAGGTTGCAGGGAATTGCCACATCCCTCAAAAATCGGACTGCAATTACAACATGGAGAATGGATACAACAAGGGCTTCAATAATTCAAACTTGAAACAGCCTCGTGCGTGTGTGTGTGTGTGTGGGTACAAAACTCATCTAAGTTCTGATTCATTGGATAATGTCAGCCATGATATTGTCCTGATTGAGATTTGCCATCCAGAAGCCTTGGGCACAACCGTTAGCCGCACGTCTGGCAAAGAATCGTGGCCTCTTAAGATAGGCAACCCCCCCCCCTCTTGTTGTTGAAACCGCGGTGCATAGCATGGTAATCCGGTTTATCTTTGGGGGTGCTTTCGTGGTATGCTGAATACCCCTACCATACTGCAAGTAAACCAACGACACTCAACCGCATGGCAAATTACAGCAAGCCCCTTACTTGCAGGTTTTGGCCCAGCGGATCCAAATGAAGCCATTTTAGTGGCTAGGTCCTCCAGTAGAGAGCTTAGAATACCCTTTTTTCCCGGTTTGTCTATTTTTGTAGGGAAACCCTCCCAACTAAAAAAGGAAAGGGTACAAGGGCACCAATTGCTGGGGGACCTAGGTCACCAACTACGTTCCTTTGGTTTTGGCCGGCTGGTTCCCTTAGTTATCCACGTGGAATCACATGCGGCTGGGCATCCACCCAGCCACTCACTCAAGTTCGCACGGGGCCTCTGTGGGCGCAGCTGATTTGTTGGGGGCTGCGCAGCTGATCAGGCCCCAAAAACGTTGCGCAACAGCAACGTGCTAATTGCGCAAAGTTTCAGCGTCTCCACCGGGAACTTCTTGCGGTTCGTTTTCCGCGCATCGTCCACCTGAGTTCCACCAGCCCGCGCCAAAACCGCTCTTCGGAGCCTTCACTGGGCTGCCCGTTTTCTGAGCCCCTGAAAAAAGCTTTTAGCTGTCAGCGGGGTAAATGGACACCTCCAGCAAACCCTAGTAAACTCTAGCAGAATTCAGTTTCAGTGGGTTAAATGGAAACCTCCACTAACCCTATGACTAAAAACCTGGAAACCTATTGGGATGGCTGGGAACTACCGAGTTAAGTGGCTGTGGGTCAAAAATAGGTACCCAAAATGGCTTGCCCTGATAAATGGAACCAAAGACTAAAGCCTGTGGTGCCCTGGTGGCTTAATTTTGACCCACACCCAAATCGACACCTCCACTAAACCGTATGAGTAAAGACCTAGAAACCTATCGACACTACCAAGTTAAGACCAAACAAGGCACGCCCAGTGATTCTGGTAGGGTGGGTTCCAAACCCGCCAAAAGGAATTCCAGGTTTGGAATCTTGGAACCTGACGATCATCCGGCCGAATGAGCGCGAGTGTGCGCAAGTGTCAGGGTCGGGGCCTGGTCTGTTTTTTTTTGGGGGTCTCGGGTCTTTGGATTCCCTGGCTATACAAAGCACGAATCACCCAGGAAGGCGGGGGTTGAGGCACATGGGATGACCATTGGGGAAAACCACCAAAAAGGGTTTGATATGCTCCACTAAATTGGAAAACAGCTACCCTTGGGCAGGAAGATTGATCAACCCCTATATGGAGACCCCAATGGAAGCCATTTGAACTCACTGGCCTACTTCCCTTGAGACCAAGCTTGTCTGATACGCCCCATACTATGGATGGACACAATGCGCTTCGCGCCAGTTGAGATAGATGAAACCCTATGAGTTCGGGTTGATAAAATCTGGATACTCTGTGTATCCACAGTATCAATGACCAACAAAGGATGTGCGACCACTGATTTTTGCGTGGCACTGTACTCATTTTGACTAATCCGAAGGTTAACATTGTCCCCCTTCCTGAGTGGATTGGCCAAAACAAGTCCAAAGTGTTTACATATGTGCCACTCAACTGGTCTTTCAAACAAGTGCAAAGTTCCGGGAATTCGGGGAGTAAGAAGCATTCACGACATTTTATCTGAAACCAGCGTTCGATTGCTTTTTGACCCCCGACACAAAGTTAAGAAGCGTTTGCTGGTAGGGATAGAGTCATCTAGGTGAAAAGGTGGGTGTGGCCTTTTACGAAGCAACCAAGAACAGTGGCAAGCGGAACAACAAAAAACAAATCGGATTCTGGATGCCAAAGGCAACTCAGATCCCAAAACAGATCCAACCCATCCTTCTGGCAATGGCCGAGATCGCACACGTCAACACCTCCCCATTTTGTGGCCGGGCAACCGAGCTCATCACCGATTCCATCTCCTCCTGTACAGGACTGGGCTTGTCCGTTTTCTGAGCCTCTGCTGAAAGTTTAACGTTTGGTGGGTGAAATGGAAAACCAACCACTAAACCGAAGAAGAAAACAAATAAGCCAAAATCCTACGGGAACCACTGGGAACCGCCAAGAGGAGACAAGGTCACACTTGAATGAGCCGACAGGTCAGCTTCTCATGCAGGTCATCATGGTGCTTTTGCAAATGGAACCCTTGCAAGGGCAAAACCCCTAAAGGGTCCATGACCATCTTTAGCCGTCCGCAGGGCAGTGGGGAAGAACATGACCATTCAAGTCAAGTATCCATTTCCTGATAGACAAGGGAACCAAACAATCGACTTCAACCACAACCGGTCAAAACCAAGAAGGACACAATCAATGATCGTGCCCACGTGTGTTTTTTCTAGTATAAGCAAATCAGAAAAACAAATCGGCTTGGTCAACAGGTGAAGCACGTCGGGTGTTTTGCTTTATCTTGGACACATTCCCGCTCCTTTCGTCAGATGGCCCTTGGCTTCTCTAGCTGCTTTTGGCTTATGTTGACTGTGTGGCTCGCTGAGCTTACATTCGGGGGGTGGCTTGGACCATGTTCCTCTTAAAGGAGCTGTCAGGTTCCATGTCAATTGGTGGGAGGGTAGCCCAAAAGTCAAAACTTGCTTTGTTTTCCGCTCTCTTGAGTCAAAATCACTTGGACCCAGCTTCGCCATGCGCGCAGCAAGTGCAATGGTCCTCTTCTCAATCACACTACGCCAGGGAAGGATGCCGCTTCTCATGCCCTGGACCATCAAAGCGTCAGATTGACGGACTAAACAAAAACCCGTGGGCTTCACATTCACTCCAAAAGAGGCAGCTTCACCCACCATAGATTCATCCGCAACAAACTCGCTCGCCAGTGTTTGATCTGCTGGTGTCACTCGAAGATCAGAATGTGTTGGTGCGGGGATGGTGCCACTCTCATCGACATCAGGCGAAGTGTTTGCGATTAGATGGTGCCCCCAAAAAGTGCATGACATGGTCCATCAAAACTCCCTAGGGCCATTGAGCTTCAAACCCCCCCATGCGACTCCCGTCACATCGAGTTGCTCGATCGACCCTTTTACAATATGTTAACTTTCGACTTCCCCAGAATTAGCTCCCCTTTGTGATTTGTTGCTTTCATTGGGTCCCCATGTCTCCCCCAACCAGGCAAGAAACCAAATATCGGTGTTTTTTGGTTTTTTTTCCTGGGCCTAATTCCAGGCAAGTGCTTTTCTGCCCAATTTTTTTTTGAGGGGTTGCCCGACCCACACCAAACCGGAAACCCCCAAACCCCACCCCCCCCCCCCCCAAACCCAGGTGCCGGTGCAATGGCCATCCAGGCCGACGGCGCTGTGGTGACTGGACCAAAATTGATGACTTGGCAAGTTTGGATTCCAAAAATTTCGATGTTTTTTGGGGATTTGATTTGAACCCCTGGCTTTTGTAGAGGGTTAAGGGGAAACCAGCGCGCAACTACCCAACCGCCAATCCAAATCAACAATCACTTCCATGGATTGCGATGTACCGTTTGTACCGTGTTGTCTTCCTGGCTTTTGCCACGTGGCTATGGAGTTCAATGAGGAACCACCTCACAAGCGGCCGGTTTAGATGAATCCCGACCTAAATGATCCCATCAAAGGGTCCCTAACCTTCCATTTGCGTTTCAGAATATGTGTCATTTTCCCTTGTTGGTTTTTGAGGGGATCTATCACTGCTGGACATATTTGGTTTCTAGACAGCTTAAGCAAATGGAAGTTGTACCAATGATCCCTGTCAGTCTGCACCGTGTGGGCCATGACAGTCCGTGCATTGCGCTCCCAAAGGCCGGAAAAGGGAATATGGGGAGAGTTTTCTTGTGTGTTTGCGGGTACCCCCAAAACGGGAACGGTTGGCTTATGGGGATCCCCTAATTTGCCACCACAAAAATCCAGGCAAACAGATTCGACATAACTTTGCTAGCTTCCTGCGCCCGGAAAACTGGAGGAAACAAAGCCAATGCCCAGCCTTGCGACGTGGTCATCGTTTCGCTGAGTGGCTTCGTAAACCTATGTCGCCACTCCCGCTACTTCAAACTTGACCAGCCAAAAAGCAGTCTAAATCACAACAAAGCAGTCTAAGGAGCACATTTTCTTTATTTGTGGCTGAACACCGTCATCTGTGTAGAGGAAATATCCCGAATTCAACTTGCTTTGGCCTCGAAACCGCGTCTCTTCAGGCTCGGAGATCCCTGTCGTCCGTCTCCTGCAGGCGTTCGTCCAGTGGAGCGGCTTCGGCCATCGCCCGGAACACCTCCGGATCCTCCTGTCCGGGGCACTGGCCCTGTGACGGGACCGGGCTGATCAGTGCTCACAAATCCGCGGGGGAAACATGGGGAACTGGGGAACTCATTTATACCGCGGATGGGACAAAATCCGCAGTACCGGCGGGTGAGGGAAACCCTTGTTGAGTAGTGGGACTGGCGAAGCAGATGTTTCCATCCACAGTACCATGTGTGAAACCCGCAAGAAGGCCATGTTATTAAGAGGCTTTTCCTAGGTTTATGCTAGGATGTCACCGAAACCGGCATGGGGCCCAAATTGGTAGAACATTTTTTTACACAAGCATTGAACCAGAAGTGTCCAAACGATCATCTATGGGGGTAAGGGACCAGCTTGCCATGCACTAGGCAACAGTTGTCTGCATTTTGCTGGTTCTTCAAAGGTTTACCCATGCCCCCAACCCCCTTTGAAAGCAGACCAAATCCGTTCCCTTCCTTCTTGGACCTGTGTGAACCCATGGTCGTGTGTTGGGGTCCTACCAATTCCCTTGATGTAAGTCAACCCAGAACTTGTCAGAGGACCTGGAAATAACGTCTTACTTTGACAAAACACACACCAACACGGAAAATGTCGATTCACCCAAAATGGTGAGTGAGATGATGGCGGAAAACTCCTTGGGAAAACCGAGCTTGTCTTCTTAAAGGCAATGTTCTCTGCAAGACCCACTACGCGGGTTAGATCTCTTCCGGTCTTTGCCACTGTGGATTGACAAAATCCTGCACCTAAGACTCCCCAGAATGATGATTCCCATGCAAATACCAACATTTGTTTCTATGTTTTCCAAGTGGTGCAGGATTTCGGCATGGAGAGCAACCAACCAACTTCGGGGTAAATCCTACCTAAGCGTACCCATGTTGCAAAATGTCACCCAAGCGATAGCAAAAAGGGAAACAAGCAACTAGCTTCTGACCTTACCCCCAACTGAACAAAGCGTGATTAAAAAGTAATAAGCATGATAATAACCAAATGGTGTTGAAAAAACACCATTTTGCTCGTCAGTTATACATTAGATTCTTTGTTGATGTCTTAGCGGGTTAAGGTCCACCGGCTATTTGAGATGTTCAAAATGTCCTTAGGCCTTAGGGTCTTATTTTGAGAACATGAGCGGAGGGGGCTAGAAAGAGGTTGGATCCGAGTGCTTGTAATGAGCGAACGGACATGGGTATTGTTTCTTTTCAACCGGGTGTGTCCAGTCAACAAGCATAGCTAAATGGTCTAGAAAATTTAAAGCATTGCTTGTCTAAATTATCTGAAGGTCGATGAACATCCCAACCCAAAAAAAAACAACGAAATAATCTTTGAACCATGGCACAAATGGGTTTGCCTCACAATAGGGGAGACCCCAACACTTTTTGACTTCCCTTTGAACCGTCCCAAAAGGGGTACCCGCAAAAAAGCAGACCCATCCACATGGACTTGCTGCCCGCTCCATTTGTTTGCTGTAGATCTCTACGGCGAAGTTCTGCGCCGAGTTGGCGTCCTCCGGCCACTCTTGCTGTCGCAGCCTGGCGGAAAGGCAAGCCGTTCGAAACGAACCTTCGTCAGGATCAGTGATACTATTGCCCAGCCAGGGCGGAAAAATTGGCTGAAAAGAAAGCAACGTGACCCAGTCGATCGATTTTCCTTGTGGGTAATCAAGGGCGCCACCCTTCAAAGACAAGGAACATGTCGGGTTGCCTACTATAGTGGCTTGCCAGCTGTTTAATGGGAAGGATTTTCGGAAGTAAGATCCCACGCGAACATTTGCCCAAATGAGATGGCGGAAAACAAATCGACCCGGCTAGTTTGTTGCTCCGATTTATTGAGCCAGCCGGGAGCTCCCTTCCAAATTAACATGGAGCCCCAAAATGCGGCAGGGGTTCAATCCTAAGAAAAGAGATTCCTCAAACCACGCCAACCCCCCCCCCACCCGCCCAACCACCGCTTCCCATGTGCAAAATGCCAAGCGCTGTCCAAGCATCCGCTACGGATGAGAAAACGTGGCCGCAGGGCGCTGGGATAGAAGAGCGCTCGCTGGGGAGGGGGAACTTTGCAAATGGATCCGGCAGCCCCTAGGCTAGAAAGAGGCCTATAAACCTGGGCAGGTCAAATAATTCAACCGAAAACAAGGGATCCCTTGAAGAATCCTCATGGACTCATGAGTGAGGTCGCAGCCCCCTAGAATCTGCCCACATCAGTCCATGTCCAAAAGTTGACCAGTGTCCTTGGGAAAATAGGTACGGTAGATAATTAAACAATGTCACCTACGGGCGCTTTATTTCTCAACCAAAGTGTACAAAAAGGACACCGATGGGCATGACCCTTCCTTTTGAAGCTCTGCTTGCCAAGGCCTGATAGAAACGCCAAGTTGCCGATTCAATCGGATCCTTGGACTCCATCATGGAGGTGCGCACCGGACAAACCAGGAAACAACGACGGGAGGACGAGAGGGAAAGTACCAGACATGGCCACTTGCAGGTCTCGTGGCTAAACAAGATACGTCTTGACATGACCAAATTTAGATGTGGGCTGAAAAAATATATATATATGTTAAAACAGAATGACCAAATCCACATCGAAGCCCGGGAACGAAAAAGCATCGCTTCGGCCAAACACGCTGCTCTGACCCGATTCACTTCTCGCTTCGGCCTCTCCATCCACAGGCTCAGCAGCATGTCGTAGTCGCCCTCCTACCCAGAGGTCCCCACAAGCCCTGGGAGGTGAACAATGCCTACCATACAAAAATGCCCCCTCCCCAAGACCCCAAGACCTTAAGCACCTGCCAGGCGGAGTTGCTCCGGGTTTAGCTCCGGGTCTTGGCGGAGAATGCCAAAGTGGGATCGGTTCCCATCCGACGGCTTTTTTTTTTTTTTCGATTGAGAACAGAGAGCCGCCGCCCCGCTCCCGTCAGAAGACAACGCCCTCCTCCCCAAGACCTTAACTACCAGCCAAATGGAGTTCCTCTGGGTGACCCCGAAAACATCGTAGTCTCCTCCATACAAGTTTCCATTCCTTAGAAACCACGCTCCAATGTGAACTTCACATGTGATTTGGACCGATGGGAATCCCAAGAGAATTGGATCCACCCACGACTTACGAATGACATCTGCTTTCTGAACTGAAACTGAACCATCCAACTGGTGGTTTCCTTTCTCAAATCCCAAAAGCTTCATTCCCTCATTTCCCGAGTGGACTGGCCAAAAAAGTATGAGAACTTTGCATTTGCCAAAGTGGTTTTTGCACAAAGCGCAAAGTCCATGAACTCAGGGAGTGAGTTTTGCTTGCTGGTGCGATAGGTCGGGCATGACCGAGTGCCAGGGAATTCCCTTTCAAAACCAGCGGTTGGATGGTTTGTTGGGGTCATGCCCTCATTCCCTGCTGCTTGAACCAGCGAGAAAAGGCGCCCAAAACCCCGAAGTTCCCAAAGAACCCACTCCTTGTCCCAGTCCACCGTTTTGGACTTCTCCGCCTGCTTCGCCATCTTCTCAAACAAATCCGCCGCCTCAGCTCTCATTGAAACCCAACGATCCGTATCGATCCGTGGCTCACCTCGCAGTCGCCCGCGGCGAAAGAAAGGCGTGGTGAAAACTCCGGGCTGGTCGCAACACGAACCAAGCAAAAGGAACTTGAGAAGTTTAGCCCTGGCTCAAGGGAACTTACCCATGGCAAACCATGTCTGGTAGTTTTCCGAACGATAGTATCAGGGTAATGCTCCAAAGATTTCACCCATATGCAAAAGCCTGTCAAAGGAACGTGTAGGTTTTCGGTCACAAACCCGCTTTGCGTCGCAAAGAAAACTGCCCTGAGTGCATCTCCTCAGTTGCTGTACTACTTTCTAGTGGAGCTGGGGACCAAATGCTTGGCGCAAGCGAGCCAACTTAGTAGGCTGCCAATACACAATTGGGGTAACTGTCCCTTTACAACCATGGGTAGTGCAAAAAAAGTCCTTCACCCGGCGGTTCATCCATCCCAATTGCTGCAAGAGTGCGCGTCCGTCCACAGTATCACCCTATCATGGAACCCTAGGAGGTCCATTGGGGGGGGGACGGGCGTCCATGGTCATATTAACCCCTAAAATGAAGCCCAAGCAACTTGAATGTCCAGGTGGGAATCTGGGCTGTCCTCAGATCCCCTGCGAAAAGTTCGACGTGTGGGCTTTTTGTTCGGACAACCAAACCTGCAAAAGAAGTCCCAAAAACCTCAATGGAACCCCACTCTGAACCAACCCCAACCCTGAACGCCTTTCAGGCGCGGACAGCGCTGAGTTTCGGGGGGGCTGGGGCAGCGGCGCGCCAGGCGGTGTACATCTCCTCGTGGCAGCCCTCTTTGGGGCCTGTGGAAAGGCGGGCGGGGAACTTGCCCGAAAGGCTCCCGGAAAATTTTTTTTCCAGGGGCCTCAAACTGGGTGTTTCACCCCAAGCCTCTGAGGAATTGATTCCGATCTTTTTTTGCTTGGGGGCCATAGGGGTCGTGAGCCTCAGGGGGAGTGATAGATGGTGGCTAAGGGGTGGGACAAGAATACCAATCCATATCACGAATTAGGGCATACCTGAAATAGGGCTCCTTATCTGAAAGCCGCCAAATACCCATCGGCGACTACCAAAAGCCCATCTCAACCTGCCAAACCGATACGAAGAGCTGCCTCAGAGTTTTCCCAACCAAATGTAACAGGTTCGATTCTGGAGGTGAGAAAAAAGCAAGTTCTCGAGGTGAGATTGCACAGGTCGAGTCAGGTTGGGTTGGAGAACTGAGCAGAGTACTTTTTGGGAAGGCCACGCTAGTGACGTATCAGACGACGATGCCAGTGCTCTGAAGTCCAAGGCCTACGCGGTTACGCGCTTGGAGCTTTGCTCCCAACATGCCTATGCGGTGTTCGTTTCCGTGCCAAAACTCGGTGCCCGCGCATGCCTAGGGGCAAAAAGGTCAAGTCCAGCCTACAAGGTGCCTGCGCGAGAAGCTCCAAAGCCGGTGGTCAAAAAGTGGCTTTGCGCGCCTACGCGCGTGCAGTGATGATATGTCTACACGCGGCTTGATACGTCCACTCTCCTTTTGTCCCTTTGCCACCGATAGATAAACTCCAAGAACTCCTGTGTTCAGCCCGAATCCCAGAAGTGGCATGTCACGGCATGTCTCACCTCGCGCACCTCCAAGCAACCTGAAAATGCCCTTGATCGAGAGGTGAGTCTACATGCCACGTCTTGGTTTGGAGGCTGAGTTTCATAGGGCGTCTACGTCCACGACACTCGAGCCCGAGAGACTGACTATCAGCAGCATAAGGGTAGACATTTCTTGGTACAGGGAGTCCAAAAGAAGCCAAGCCAAATCTCCAATTGCATACTTGATCATTCAGGAGAGGCTAGAACCATCCGGAAAGGATCAGGACATCGACTCATCCCTTGTGGGTTTGATATCCACTTTTACTGGGAGGTTGACAAACAAATGGTGGAACTCTTGTGACAGCTTGGCCGCCTTCTCAAGGTGGAGCCATCATACTGACAACCTCCACACCCAGAAGTCCACTTTGGCCCCACTTCACCCACCCACCAAAAGCCCAAAAGAGGTAAAGCCGGGTCTGTACGGAGAACCAGTTGTTCAGGTCGTTGGAAGCGTTGGGATGGCGCCCGGCAACCCCTACCTGGACGTTCAACCAAGTAAGCTCTCACCATGCATATCTCAGGTAGTTCAGTGGTTGTCAACAAATGGATCCCTTTCCGAGCCCTGCGATGCCGTCTTTTTTGGAGGATGCCAAGGCCTACGTACTTTGTGGGTCAAAAATAATTAGGTGCCCAACTGGATCCCTGGTAAGTGTTGAGTTGTGGTCACACCCGTAGTTTTTGGACCCCAAGCAGCTTGACCGCAGCCCCCCCCCCCCCAAGGCCCGTGGCCGTGCCTTTGGGCAGGTACGGGCGCACCGCCTTCTGGTGCAGCGGGTACGGCAGGCCCAAGCGCTGTGCACGCCACAGCAGCGACGTGGCCTCAATTCGCTGCCGGGGTTCGGGTGTCATAGAAACTCGCGGGAAATTCTGCGGGACATTTGCCAAATGTGGAGCTTCCTGTAGTTTCTCAGACCTCTGGCGGCTCTGAGCGATCAAGGTACAAAACCAAGCTGGTAAGCTGGTGGACTACTACCCGCAGTCCCTCAAAAGCTGCAAGTGATTTGCTTGAAGGGCGGCCAAGGGCGGCCAAGGTTTCCTGGTACCACAGAATTGGAATGAGTTAACCTTGTTCCCACAACCCTGCTGAACACCAAACAACACCAGAAAAGACACAGGAAATCAGCCTTGCCAGTGATATCAAGGCAGGGAATGCCAGTCACAAAGTGGTTTGCCTTTGTCAGTCACAAATGAAATGGATTCCATTCCCAAACTCCCCCTATGAATAAGGCCGACCGTGGCTTTAAAGGACAAAATGGAGACTATTTTGCTTCCTGAGTCCTTTTCACAGGATCCACCCCCTTGACTTGGGGCCGCTAAGTGAGTGTCTGATGTTTCAGGATTTTACTGATGGACCAAATCCTGCAACAGTTGGTATGTGGCTTGTCCTATCCATAGGGCTTCATCCATCCCAGCTGATGCAAAGCGGACTTAGTCCATCCACAGTATGGGGGTTGGAATCCCATGACTTGTGGGGAACCACTGTTTGTTGGTATTTACAGATTCCAGGGTTTCTTAGGTGCAGGATTTTGTCCATCCACTGGTAGAGGAAGCCAAAGGACAAATCAGCTGATGTTGCTGGTTGGGTGATGGGGGAGTCCCACGCCTTGGCTTGGAGCCTCGCGTCTGGGGCGCCTGCCAACCACTCCTCTGGTGGTGGGGTCATGGCCTCGAGCCGAGAGCGGGGAACCCACGTGGAAACGACGTGAAGATCGTTGCCGGGTGCCCGGGTGGACAAGACTCTAGGAGTTGATTCCAATTCCATTCTTTTCAACCATGGTTCTTTTCAAACATCGGCTGTTTCCCCTGGGCTTTTGGTGGTTTCCTGAAAACAAGGATCCCTGAAAGAATGGGGAAGGTACCCTTAGAAAGAAGATGAAGTCTCGGGTTGACCACATGGCTCCAAAAGGCTCCCTTGAAAGGTTGGACGAATCGAGGGGAATCGGCTCCTTTCGACAAGTCCGTTGGGTTACGGTTACTCCTCAGGCCGCCATTATTGGCTTTTGTTACGAGTGATTCCATCCTCCAAAGATCGGGGAAGATATCAGGGCACTTTTCGGGTTCCCCACATGAGTCATAATCAAAATCCGGTTTTTGAATGGTCGATCCCCACAACCATGTAAAGAATTGACAAGGCGGATATCCGCACCCATCTATGGCTGGGACTATCCCTTACTACCCTCCAATTACCTGTGTTTTTGTGACTCACATGTTGATTTGCAGCGAAAGCAGAATGTTCGCCGTGTCCCCTTTTGGGACCTTGACTCAAAATGGACCAAAAAGGACACACCCAAAAGGTTGAAAGGTTGATTCGCCTTGCACCACTGAGGCCAACCACTTGGCAAGCCCTGCCCGAAATTGTTTGAACCAACAAGCGATTCATATCAATGATGCTACACCTGAAAAAGTCTGGATCGTTGTCTTCAAACTACCTAACAAGAGTCATGGTCATGATTACATGGTTCCCTTAATAAGTGTCTAAAGCCCCAGTAGGTCCATGACAAGCCCTAGCCCAAGCGAACAGCTGCTCTCTCAAGATGGTAGGCCCCTTTTGGTTGGTATGCCTCCGTAGTATGGCACTGATATCCATGCCAAGGAAACCCAACTCCTTCAACGCCTCTGACGCACGAAGCCCCGCGCCTTCTTCTCCAGCCATTCCGCAAAGATCTGCGGAGGGGGCAGAGACAGGGACATTTGCCGTTCTTAGTATGTGACCTCAAAGAGGCCTGTTTATGCTGCCACATCCGTAGACTGTGCTGCAACTACCGTGACTTCATGGTGACCAGTTACCAGCTGCCGTGTTTATATGTCAGGTCCATTCGACCCTCCGCCTCCGCCTCCGCCTCTAAGGGCTCATGGGGGAATGGTCCCAATCCAAACCGACCCTGCATGCTTGGCGGCCATCCTTTGTGCATCTTCTCTGGTTGGGGGTTGGAATGAATCTCCTTTGGGTGGAATCCGTAAAATCTGTGGACTCAAGCTCTAGGTTGCAAGGGTTGTTTATTCCTTCCCAGTGGACCACCTGGTAAAAGAAGAATACACGGGGTGGCACTGAACAACTGGGCCAAGTGTAAGATCCCTCTCCTACTCGGTGAGCCATCCCAGATCTTACATGTCCATCGATCCCAAAGAAGCCTCCAACCATTCCTTCTTGTTTTGTGCAAAATGTTTACTTTGAGCCAAGTGTAAGATCCCTCTCCTACTCGGTGAGCCATCCCAGATCTTACATGTCCATCGATCCCAAAGAAGCCTCCAACCATTCCTTCTTGTTTTGTGCAAAATATTTACTTCTATGTCTTTGGTTCCTCTTTGATCTTTTTTTATTGGGGAGGGGTGGGTCATTCCTTCTTGTTTCGCGCCAAGTGCTCGGGTCCCTTTCTGGAGGTTCGGTTTCAAGGCGAGGCCAGGAAACCGAAGCTCGTGGGTCACAGGTCGCGCTTCCTCGCCTGGTGCTGGGGGCACGTGAAGCTCCTTAAGCGCCGAGCGAGGAGTCGTCTCGTTTTGGGTTGCTACCCCTGCTTCGTGGTGGCTTGTAAGGAATCAAGAGAAGAGCCACACCTTTTTTGGGGGTCCCGGATTGGAGTTATAGTCGCAGCAAAAATCTAAACTTTAGCAGTTAAGCGGGGATTTCAACCACTAAACCACAGTAAGCAAAAATGTAAAAAATGTGTCCCAACTACAACCATGAAATCATGAGCCAGTTCGACCGACTTTTCTCCCCGGCTTGCGCTTAAGTCGCTGATCAAAAAAATCGTACCTCGCGGGTTGGATGTGCCTCGGGCAGCCCGAAGCTCTGGAGCGCCCGGAGACTTTTTTGCGAGAGGTGGCGAGCAGGGAAACAATGACCCCCCGGTTTTTTTGTTTTTTTTCCCCGTGCTGTCAGCGATGGTTTGGTGGTCTGTGGTTGGCGTGGTTGGTCCGGCAATACTGTGGATGGTTGCGAATCCATTTCACACCACCTGAGAAAAACTGGAATGCAGGATTTTGCCCTGTAAGTACTAACCAGCCTTACGGTTTCAACTCCATGGTTTCCTTTTGTATTGCGGGAGACTTACGGATTTGCCAACCATCCGCAGTATGGGAAATCGGGGCATCCCCCGACGCAATTTTCTAAACGCATCGACTCCTCGGCCCCAAGACCAGCGCCAGCGCCAGCGCCAGCAGCAGGGCTAGCCGCAGCTTTTCACGCGCCATAGGCCGACGGCAGTCTTTCTTTAGGCAATGGGTGAAGGAACCCAAAGGGGTGGGGGGTAGGTCCTTGCTAAAATAGTTATAAGAGTTGTTTATTTCTTTTTGTTTCTGATCTAAGCTCTTATTCAACTGTTGGTGAATAGTTGAACATTTAGCTCTTGATTTGTGTCTCAAAGGCTTGATTGAAAAATGATGCGCTGTGGAGAATTCGCCAGTATCTCTGCTAGCCTTGGTTTCAGCCACGAAGCCAAAGAAAAGTCAACAAGTACTGCAAGTTTGGGTTGATGTTCTGGGGGATGGGAATCAAACACTTGCCAAGGAAAGTATTCCAAGCTTGGACACCTGGTTTCGAACTCAGGCTGGGTGAGCTGACTTTCCACCCATGGCCTTCTGAACGTGGCGAGCGGTGGCCGGAGCACATATGTTGGTTCTTGCTTGGTGGGGAGGCCAACTGGCTCTCTTGTATTTTTCTGCGTATTGAATTAAGCAATGGGATTGAACATGGGGGATACAATAAAAGCATATTTCCGCTATAGTCACAGGAGAAAACCAATGTCCGCTATGGTCATAGGATATTCATATTCAAGTATTTGCTTAGCCCCTTGCGTTAACTCTCGAGCCAAGGCTGCTGGGATGGGACATGTGCTCCACCGCGCTCTGGATCAAGCGCCGGACCTACTAATCGAGCCAAATTTATGAAAGAAAACCATGATGAACAAAGTAAGCCCCCAAATCTCAACCAGACGAGTCTTTGTAGGGGGGGTCTCCGGGTCTCCGAAATGAGGCACCCCCCCAATTCATCAACCCGCAGGTTGGACAAATGCTAGCTGTTTGACATGCGTGCAGGCTCTGAACTTTGACTTGTACTTTCATGTTCAGCAAATATGTCACGCCGCCCATGCACTGAAACAGACCCAGAACGGTTCTCTCGACTACAGATGCTATAACTTGAAACAGGGTTGCTCCTTATCAACCCTTGCACCCAGATAGAGTGTTTCCCGGCGGTTTGGTCGACTTACATGATTCGGCTTACGAGGTGTTGTCCTTGGTCTTGCAGGGGAAGCCAATGGGAACCACCTATTTGCCTATGTTCGCAGTCACCAGCCGAGTTTGCCACAAAGACTATGGGCGGAGGGTGACTCAAGAGTCTTGACAATTCCCTTGGGAACATGACAGGTTGGGCCCCCTAGTCTCGAAATTCGCAAAAGGGTCCCTTTGCTTGGTCATTGTCCAAGCCCAAACTCTGAACGACTCTAAACCTAAATCTTGTCGACCGTCAACTTAGAGGGCAAAGATGTAGGTACCCCATCCGGCCATGGGAAAAAAGGGAAGCTTGCCTTGTCCATCTCCTTAAGTTCCCCGGAAAAAGAGGAACACAACATCCGTCGTGATAAATTCCCTTCAAAGCCAAGAGGGCGAAATCTTCAGCACCTGGAAGCCAAGCCTGTGCCTCAATGTTGGTGACCAATGTCAGGATCCAACCTGCTCTGATTTCCACCCAACAAAAAACTTCCCAAACCAAACAAAAACCACCCAGCGCCAGCTGAGCTCAGCCTTGCCGCCTGGAAGCCGCGTCCCGAGCCTCGTCGCGGCTGTCTAGGCCCTGAAGGATGGCCTTGAGGGCCTCAGGGCAAAAGGCCGCTTGCGGATTTGTTTTTCCATCCGGTCAGCAAATCGCTCCAAGTGGTGGCGGCTTGGTGGCGAAGGGTTTCCCAAATTTGCCCGCCGCTAGATTCAAGGGTTCAAAACCAAATCCAAACCAATGCAAAGCACAAAAACTCGTGGGAAGCTGATGCGGGTCGAAACGAAAAAGAAAAAGGAAAAAACACGAGTCGTTTCTCTCCGCTAGTTGCATTGGTTCATCGGATCGGCCTCTCTCCTAGTCATGCAAACACCAGCTACCGCCGCATCAGTGCTTCGCCATTGTTTCTTCGCCCTCGCCTCTGCTCAGAAACCGACCCTTGCCCCATTGAGTATGGTCCCCGAAGTGTGTTGCCTTAAGAAACGGATCCCTCATGGAAGAGGAGGGCCAAATATGTCGCCTGTGGGTGTTTCCCTTGGCCACCTGAGAGACCCCCCGACTGGTTACGACATGGCACCCAAATGGCTATGTGCTGCTTGAGGCTACCCTTTTTGTTGGTTGGTTTGCAAGGAAACCAAAAGGGAAACCACGACCTGTGAGCCAAACCTGGTTTCGCCGGGTCAGATTCAGATCCGGTTTGCCCCCCTCCCAGAAGCGGGCCTGCGGATCGCTCTCCATAGCGCGCAAAGGTGCAAGATGCGACGATTGCAATTTGTATGACCAAACCGAAAAACGCAATCAACAAACAGAATTTGGGTCATTGCCACAGCCAAATATCTTGCAATGTTTGAAGTGCGTTGACCTTGTCAAATGTCCATAGTCTCCCGCAGGGTTTGCTCAAGCTTCAAAAGGCTGAGTAAGAATTGCTGTGGTGTGGAAAGCTCTATGAAAAACCAGGTGGTTTTTTCCCCCACTGTACCACTGAAAGGCCAAAACACGACTCATGTTGCATTTGAAGCGCAAGTTCCCTGACTGAAGGGTGTTGGAAACTCCTCTTCCAAAAGCCCGAGAGCTAAAGGTCCACGTCCAACGTTGGCAAAGGGGTATTTGCTGGGTTGCTCTTCCCTGTTGTGAGCAAAACGTCTAACCTTTTGCAAAAGAACGCAAAAGCCGCTTTGCAAAAGGCGCTTTTGGCTTTCTTTGGGCTCATACCAAAGAAGGAATCGCCATGTGTGGTGTCCACTGGAGCATGAAGCCGGACGCGGTCAACAGCTGACGAACCACTGCGGCCCGCTCAACATGTGTTTCCTGGTTCTGCTTCGTTGCACCCGAGGAAAAGGACATGGAGTCTGCTTCACAAGCTGTCGAGGCAACGCGGCATTGGCAAGTTCGCACTGCAAGGGCCCTAGGGGCTCCAAACTTTTTAGCCGGTGCTTCACCAATAGAACCAATAGGGTGGGTAAGCAAGGAAAACCATCATGCAACTGGAAGAACTGGGGTGATGGTTTGCATGATGGTTGATCATGGTTACCTACTACAATGATAAGTGGAAGCCCTGGACTATGTGTCCGGTCATGATAGAAATCTACGAGGTGAAATGCAGGGATCCCCTAGAAAAGAAACCTTCTTCACGAGCTCGTCCACTCGGATCAGTCAGCTTGTTATGATTGGCCCAGGTATCTCCGCCCACATCTGGGGTACTCAAAAAACAATGTTATATTTTGTTCCGTTGCGTGCTGTGTCGTATTGGGCCAATCCCAAAATACATAGTTTTGCAGGGCGCCCTGGATATGAGGGGTTCTCAAAATAGGGGAGGTCCCTTTCTGATGGTTTTCGAGGGAGAGAAACACCTACTGTTTCTTGCAAAGCGAAAGATGGGTTGGCGGGGGGAGGGGGACTCTCTCAGGGTGGACATGAGCCAATCCGAGCTTGAATTCCAGAAGCCCGCATAGCATGCGCCCTAGAAGAAAGAGGGGAGGATCCCCCGATTCCCATATTTCTCGTCCCCAGCAGGAAAAATGGAACTAGAATTGAATTCCAGGGCTCCATCTCTAAGGGGTCCACAGAGGAGTGCGGTTACAGAAAAGCCGTCTTGCAACGATGGCGACGCCACCTTCTCCAATGAGAACAGCCTACCTTGGAAAGTGCTCGATAGATTCCCCAAGCATTGACAAGACAGGCATAAACCATGGCAAAGTGATGGGAACCAAGTAATGGGAACCCAGGATTGATAAACCCAGTCGATTTTGAACCGTGTGGATGCTCCAGTTTAAAGGCGGGAACACCCCCCAAGTCTAGGGTGGTCATTACAAAGGTTCCCTTCTGTACTTGCAATATCTACTTGAGTTCAACCAACTTATATAAATGTGTATAGCTTTTAACCATGATGACAACCGGTCCTTGATGGGCATAGTCTCCTTTATAGCCGTGGCTCTCACCTACTGCGTTGGTCCAACATCGAAGCGGGAAATTGTCCGAACCTTCAAAAGCTGAGAAGTGTGCCTCAGACCTTTGAACAGGGACGAACCCAATTCAGGTGAAACAACCTTTGCGCCACGGACGGCGCAACGGAAGCGAGCTACAGAGCTAAGTTGGAAAGTCCTCTGAACGACTCACACATGCGCAGCAAATCCTGCTATAACACTCTCCTGAAGATTCAACATGAAACCGCCGAAAGAGTACCCTTGCCTTGATGGTCGACTTTCCAGCTTGTCCTCTTCCGCCGCTGCTTTGCAGGAGCGGACCGCCCCACTTTGGGGCGAAGGCTACACGTTTCCGATGCAGATTGGATACAAGGAGATGCAAAGGCAACGTGCCTCCAAAGTCTCCAAGAATACCCCAATTCATTCTCAGAGTGTAACTTCTTGCGGATCAGGCAAAAAAAAAACATGTGCACCATCCAAGTATCGCAAATGCAACCAGCATCCCACGCATGCTCCGTTTTTTGAACGTGAACGCTGGGAAAGGAGAACACAACAGGTCACAGCAGGTGAAAACTTAGACCCCTGCAACAAGTTCATTGTTTGCGCGTCAACCAAGGCAAGTGAAGTAAACCCTTAAAAAAATGCAAAGATTGCTTCACTCCATGGACATGAGCAAAAGTTAAGTTAGTCCTGAAGGTTTGGGCTGAAATTTGTTTAGCCTGTCGCACATGCCCCTCTTATGACCAAAACCGACTGCATATCTTGGGCCTTCATGTACTCGCCGGGACGTTCAAACTTTTGGGCCTTGACTAAAGCGATCGGTTGAACCTGTTAGCACAGAGAAGTCTTTTGCTTCCCCTGGCAAAAATAAAGATTTGTCCAGTAGTGATATATTTCCCTTAAACCCAACAGGGGAAAATCATAATAAATATTTGTTTCAGCAAATGGAAGGAAGCCCAAACAGAACACAAAGGATTGAAATGTGTGCTACTGAAACAATATGAAAGTTTAACGCCTGGAATCTGAGCAGGTAAACCCTCGGAAACGCGGAGCTGTATGCCCTCTCGGCGCGGGCAAGAAGGCGCCTGGCGCCTTGTGAATTCTTCACGCGTGGCCCGTGTCCACACCGCCCCTCAAGAAGATGGGTACTTGGGAGTTCGGGCAAGTGATTTTGGGTTACTCCCATGCAACTTGGCACGGAACCCAAAAACGAGGCTCCCCTAAACATGCCAACCTTACTTGGAAGACTTACAAGTGGGTGAAAAAGGCAGGCTCATAAGTCGAGTCATAAGTCGGATTTGGACATGGGGGTACAACTCAGGGGCTCGTTGGCTTATAAGCTGCGGAACTCCCAGGTGCGTCTCCATGTTTGAGGTTCCCCTGGCTGGGAACCAAAAGGAAACCACCCACTTGGGGAAACCCCACACTTTGACACCTACCCGTGACCTGCTCCCCAAAAAAACTCCCAAAGATCACATGCAAGATAGACTCACCAATCAAATCACCAAATCACCATGCGTCTGAGCAGACTGCTGGAAAATCCCAAACCTGAGATAAGGAATTACCCAGTGGACCTTCATCATGAGTTGGTTTTCCCCAGATCGGTGAGCTCGTTGCTTCGCTTCCACAACCTTTCATTTGCTTTATCGCCCCCTGCAAAAAATGAGAACAAATGGCCAGTAGTGAAATAGATTATCTTCAACACCCACAAGGGGGAAAAAACACATATTCGCTTCAGCAAATGGAAGCCATGTGCAAGTCACCGATTGTTGGTGACATTGGGTCAGCATCCAATCCCCGCTGGTTTCCACCCAAGGCCTCGAGTTCGTTGGAGTTCGGAGGAAACCGGTGACGATGGACATGGGGTCCATGTTAGTTAGTAGGAAACATGGGTGGAGTTGCATGGACATGGACATGAGTTCGGAGCAACGGTCGGTGAGGGAACATGGAGGAACCCTGGAAAAATCTGCACAACCACTCTTGACGAGTTGGGCACAGGACTGGCAATGGCCAGACTTGTGAATTCGGGGGCAAGCTACCCGTTTTAAGTGGGTTCTAATTAACAAACGGGTGTGATCTTTTATGGGGGGCCCGGAATATGGTGGACATCAACATTCGGTGGGGATGCGTGTCCACCACTCTTGAGGCAATCCCAACTATTCATTTTTTAATCCCCAAATCAGTTTTGGGATGTACGCACATCCCGAAGGATGTTTCGTTTGGGTCGAACATCAGCCCCTATTGAACTACATACAACTTACTGCACTACGCTCTCTATTAACTTTAAATGAGCAAAGTTATATGATAAATTCAACAAATACATTCCTCCACATGGCTGTGGCTGAAAACCATGCACCAAAATGACACCTTGCTAAATTAGACTGACAGGAAAACCTGCGTAACCCTAGGTCTTTAATTTTGAGCCACACCCATACTCCTGTGCAAGCCATCCATTTCCCCGGCAAAACCCGTCCGCCCCTTCCGCATGAAATCCGAGCTGCCGCCGCTGGGACTTGAGGCTGGCGCCTTGGCCGAAGGGATCCCCCATGGGTTTCAACGGGGACTGGATATGTTATGCAGGGATCCTTACATTATACACCTGAACATTGCCTTGTAAATGATGGGTGTCTTTTACTTTGGTGGAAAAAGCCATGTTTCAAATGGGCGAAATGTATCTTTTAAGGAGCCCTGTGTTGGGCCTGGCCCGGACCACTAACAGTGAGGAGCACACAAACAAGGACCAGACAAAAACCAAGCAACTTTGCTTTTTTCAAAGAGTAGGGTACCGTAACTTATGAGTGTGTTCCTTGAGGGCACCGTTTTGTTGTTGGAGGGTTTCCAGATTCCAGGGAAGCCAACATGTGTAAAAAAACAAAAACAAACCATGGAGGAGATGGATGAGTGCTCTTTGGGGAAGCCCGTGTCGGTTGATGTGAAGCGGACATGAAAAGTAAACCAACCACTTTTTGAGGATATGGTCCTTTTCGGGTTGGTTCAAAGGGAAACCAAAAGCAAAAGATCCTCTAAAACCACACTCGTTTCTTCTTTCTTTCTTTTTGCTTGGGGGGGGGGGGGGTTTGGTACATACCAACTGGAGAAACAAGCAGCCCCCCCCCCCACATACACTAGTTCACTCCTACCTAAAAGCAGCTGCCCAAACAAAGAAACGTATGGAGAGGGCACCTTAACTGGGTGTGGGTTTCCCCCTTCCATGCATTGCGGTGCA